TATTCGACTGAATTATTCGACTGAACTATTCGACTGAAGTATTCGACTGGTTTATTCGACTGAACTTTTCGACTGAATTATTCGACTGGTTTATTCGACTGGATTATTCGACTGAACTAACTGACTGGTTTTATCGACTGGACGAGGCCACATGACAATGTCAAATACCTCATCCCCCTCCCCCGCCCCACCCCATCCCCTTTCTTCGTTCATATCATATATAGGGACTCTATTCTTTTCGAGGCGGACAAGGACAGCTGTCTAGTCTTTCGGATGGGACGAAAAACCGAGGTCCCGTGTCTACATTGGAGTGGACGTAAAAGATCCCTTTGACAGATGGAATTCGATATAAGAGTAGGCCGTAGTGCCGCTGTCCGGGCAAAATTTCCCTCATCGCACAGTGTATGGCGTATGCCCGTCTTCATTAGCCCAGTTCCAAGCAGAACAGTAGGACGTTAAAACACCATTTCATTTCTTTTCATTTCTTGAAACTAGTTGGGAAGCCCCCCGGTCTCTACCCCATGCCCCGGCTCCTTCAGCTATGTCTAAGAGCATGATTTGCTACCATATCATCTTAGCCCACTGCCACCGCTGCTTAATATTGAGCGACTGAATTATTCGACTGGATTATTCGACTGAATTATTCGACTGAACTATTCGACTGGTTTATTCGACTGAACTTTTCGACTGGTTTATTCGACTGGTTTATTCGACTGGATTATTCGACTGAACTAACTGACTGGTTTTATCGACTGGACGAGGCCACATGAAAATGTCAAATACCTCATCCCCCCCCCCCCGCCCCACCCCATCCTCTTTCTTCGTTCATATCATATATAGGGACTCTATTCTTTTCGAGGCGGACAAGGACAGCTGTCTAGTCTTTCGGATGGGACGAAAAACCGAGGTCCCGTGTCCACATTCGCGTGGACGTAAAAGATCCCTTTGACAGATGGAATTCGATATAAGAGTAGGCCGTAGTGCCGCTGTCCGGGCAAAATTTCCCTCATAGCACAGTGTATGGCGTATGCCCGTCTTCATTAGCCCAGTTCCAAGCAGAACAGTAGGACGTTAAAACTCCATTTCATTTCTTTTCATTTCTTGAAACTAGTTGGGAAGCCCCCCGGTCTCTACCCCATGCCCCGGCTCCTTCAGCTATGTCTAAGAGCATGATTTGCTACCATATCATCTTAGCCCACTGCCACCGCTGCTTAATATTGAGCGACTTGTTTATTCGACTGAATTATTCGACTGAACTATTCGACTGAAGTATTCGACTGAACTATTCGACTGGTTTATTCGACTGAACTTTTCGACTGAATTATTCGACTGGTTTATTCGACTGGATTATTCGACTGAACTAACTGACTGATTTTATCGACTGCCCGAGGCCACATGAAAATGTCAAATACCTCATCCCCCCCCCCCCGCCCCACCCCATCCTCTTTCTTCGTTCATATCATATATAGGGACTCTATTCTTTTCGAGGCGGACAAGGACAGCTGTCTAGTCTTTCGGATGGGACGAAAAACCGAGGTCCCGTGTGCACATTCGCGTGGACGTAAAAGATCCCTTTGACAGATGGAATTCGATATAAGAGTAGGCCGTAGTGCCGCTGTCCGGGCAAAATTTCCCTCATAGCACAGTGTATGGCGTATGCCCGTCTTCATTAGCCCAGTTCCAAGCAGAACAGTAGGACGTTAAAACTCCATTTCATTTCTTTTCATTTCTTGAAACTAGTTGGGAAGCCCCCCGGTCTCTACCCCATGCCCCGGCTCCTTCAGCTATGTCTAAGAGCATGATTTGCTACCATATCATCTTAGCCCACTGCCACCGCTGCTTAATATTGAGCGACTTGTTTATTCGACTGAACTATTCGACTGAAGTATTCGACTGAACTATTCGACTGGTTTATTCGACTGAACTTTTCGACTGAATTATTCGACTGGTTTATTCGACTGGATTATTCGACTGAACTAACTGACTGATTTTATCGACTGGATGAGGCCACATGAAAATGTCAAATACCTCATCCCCCCCCCACCCCCGCCCCACCCCATCCCCTTTCTTAGTTCATATCATATATAGGGACTCTATTCTTTTCGAGGCGGACAAGGACAGCTGTCTAGTCTTTCGGATGGGACGAAAAACCGAGGTCCCGTGTATACATTGGAGTGGATGTAAAAGATCCCTTTGACAGATGGAATTCGATATAAGAGTACGCCGTAGTGCCGCTGTCCGGGCAAAATTTCCCTCATCGCACAGTGTATGGCGTATGCCCGTCTTCATTAGCCCAGTTCCAAGCAGAACAGTAGGACGTTAAAACCCCATTTCATTTCTTTTCATTTCTTGAAACTAATTGGGAAGCCCCCCGGTCTCTACCCCATGCCCCGGCTCCTTCAGCTATGTCTAAGAGCATGATTTGCTACCATATCATCTTAGCCCACTGCCACCGCTGCTTAATATTGAGCGACTTGTTTATTCGACTGAATTATTCGACTGGATTATTCGACTGAACTATTCGACTGAAGTATTCGACTGAACTATTCGACTGGTTTATTCGACTGAACTTTTCGACTGAACTATTCGACTGGTTTATTCGACTGGATTATTCGACTGAACTAACTGACTGATTTTATCGACTGGACGAGGCCACATGAAAATGTCAAATACCTCATCCCCCCCCCCGCCCCACCCCATCCCCTTTCTTCGTTCATATCATATATAGGGACTCTATTCTTTTCGAGGCGGACAAGGACAGCTGTCTAGTCGTTCGGATGGGACGAAAAACCGAGGTCCCGTGTATACATTGGAGTGGACGTAAAAGATCCCTTTGACAGATGGAATTCGATATAAGAGTAGGCCGTAGTGCCGCTGTCCGGGCAAAATTTCCCTCATCGCACAGTGTATGGCGTCTGCCCGTCTTCATTAGCCCAGTTCCAAGCAGAACAGAAGGACGTTAAACCCCATTTCATTTCTTTTCATTTCTTGAAACTAGTTGGGAAGCCCCCCGGTCCCTACCCCATGCCCCCGGCTCCTTCAGCTATGGCTACGAGCATGATTTGCTACTATATTATCTTAGCCCGCTGCCACCGCTGCTTAATATTGAGCGACTTGTTTATTCGACTGAATTATTCGACTGGTTTATTCGACTGAACTTTTCGACTGGTTTATTCGACTGGATTATTCGACTGAACTAACTGACTGGTTTTATCGACTGGACGAGGCCACATGAAAATATCAAATACCTCATCCCCCCCACCCCCGCCCCACCCCATCCCCTTTCTTCGTTTATATCATATATAGGGACTCTATTCTTTTCGAGGCGGACAAGGACAGCTGTCTAGTCTTTCGGATGGGACGAAAAACCGAGGTCCCGTGTATACATTGGAGTGGATGTAAAAGATCCCTTTGACAGATGGAATTCGATATAAGAGTAGGCCGTAGTGCCGCTGTCCGGGCAAAATTTCCCTCATCGCACAGTGTATGGCGTCTGCCCATCTTCATTAGCCCAGTTCCAAGCAGAACAGTAGGACGTTAAAACCCCATTTCATTTCTTTTCATTTCTTGAAACTAGTTGGGAAGCCCCCCGGTCCCTACCCCATGCCCCCGGCTCCTTCAGCTATGGCTACGAGCATGATTTGCTACTATATTATCTTAGCCCGCTGCCACCGCTGCTTAATATTGAGCGACTTGTTTATTCGACTGAATTATTCGACTGGATTATTCGACTGAATTATTCGACTGAACTATTCGACTGGTTTATTCGACTGAACTTTTCGACTGAATTATTCGACTGGTTTATTCGACTGGATTATTCGACTGAACTAACTGACTGGTTTTATCGACTGGACGAGGCCACATGAAAATGTCAAATACCTCATCCCCCCCACCCCCGCCCCACCCCATCCCCTTTCTTCGTTCATATCATATATAGGGACTCTATTCTTTTCGAGGCGGACAAGGACAGCTGTCTAGTCGTTCGGATGGGACGAAAAACCGAGGTCCCGTGTCCACATTGACGTGGTCGTAAAAGATCCCTTGACAGATGGAATTCGATATAAGAGTAGGCCGTAGTGCCGCTGTCCGGGCAAAATTTCCCTCATCGCACAGTGTATGGCGTCTGCCCGTCTTCATTAGCCCAGTTCCAAGCAGAACAGTAGGACGTTAAAACCCCATTTCATTTCTTTTCATTTCTTGAAACTAGTTGGGAAGCCCCCCAGTCTCTACCACATGCCCCGGCTCCTTCAGCTATGTCTAAGAGCATGATTTGCTACCATATCATCTTAGCCCACTGCCACCGCTGCTTAATATTGAGCGACTTGTTTATTCGACTGAATTATTCGACTGAAGTATTCGACTGAACTATTCGACTGGTTTATTCGACTGAACTTTTCGACTGAATTATTCGACTGGTTTATTCGACTGGATTATTCGACTGAACTAACTGACTGATTTTATCGACTGGACGAGGCCACATGATAATGTCAAATACCTCATCCCCATCGCCCCCCTAACCCAACATATCATATATAGGGACTCTATTCTTTTGGAGGTGGACAAGGACAGATGTCTAGTCGTTCGGATGGGACGAAAAACCGAGGTCCCGTGTACACATTGGCGTGCACTTAAAAGATGGGGGCATATGGGGATGAGGGAAAAAGTCAAGCATGACTTTATTAAGCCGCGGTGGCAATAACTAAGATAACACCTTAAAGTTTTAATTTGAACAATCAAATTTGAACATGAGGGGACGTAAAAAATAAACAAAAACAATGATAAAAGATATTGGAATTAGTGCGTTTTTTCTTTAACTTATACAGATTACAAACGATTCCAAAATTTTAATAAGCCATCGACCGGTTTATTCGACTGACTATTTGTTTCGGACTTAAGGTCGACTCACTGATCTTGCAATACTCAAGGGAGATAACTCTTTATTATAAACTTGCCTCCCTTTTGTACATCTTTAGTTTTAAAAACCAATATTGGTTAAAACTGTCAACATGGCGTCTGTTGGAGGCATGTGCGTCCGATCTCTGTACAAGATATCTCGCCATTCCCAGTATTTATTACACATACAACCGGCAAGGTACGATATATTCCTTACACGTCGTTTGGTTCTTTATATTTATATCATTTTCACTTTTCTTGACTTCACAGTTCGGGTTATATTTGTAAAAATGTTTTGACACATAACCTTGACACCACCAACCAACGGCAACTGGCAACTTAAATTTCATCAGTTTTTATAATCCACCTTGATTATGTTATATAAGCTTATTTTTATATAAGTCTTTATTCGTAATTTTAAATATGACTCTGCACGTTCAGTTTTTATAAGGAGTACTTTATATATATGATAAAATATACATGTAATATATATATTATAACAGTAATTGACTGTGACCTGTGATTGTGTAATTTGTTGTAAAAGCTTCATAATTAAGTTTCTCTAGTGATACAAATAATGTTAAATAATTTAGATTTTCTGAATTGATTTTAATTTAGATCTAAATTGTATGATTAAGATCATTTAAAAAAGAACAGAAAAGTGTGAGAATTATTTTCATTGATGTCAAAAATATCTGACGTCATTGATTTTTTCTATGACACAAGTAATCTCGCGCATTGTCAATTTTTTAATCAACAGTCTGTGGCCCTTGGCTGACAGTTTTAGTTACGCTTCTGTGTTACTGGAAAAGACCTTTGTCTTTTTAAAAGCATACAGCTTAACTACTTGTAATCCATTATCACAGATTCTATAATGTTATTCTTTCAGAAATAGAAGTTTAAGGTTATCTACAACATCAACCAATGGTAAAACAGATGAAACAGAAGGTGAAAAAGAACAAAAGCAACCAGAAATTGCAGAAAATGAACAAAAACTGGTTGAATTAAACAAAAAATATGTAATAGAAATAGCTGAACTAAAGGTGGGCTTGTAATCGTATTGATAATACCAGAACTGTGTTTAGCAACTTATAGTCTATTGATCTATTAGTTTCTTAGCTCTTGACTCCTCATACAACTCACCTGTTTTGTTGCATGGAAATATAATTGAGGGTGTAAAATTCCCTTAAAAATGTCCATAATATCAATAGCCTTATGCAGTGGACACATTAGCCGAATCGTTCGGCCGAATCAATCGGAGCCGAATTTTATTCGGCCGAATGGGTGGACAGACTAGCCAAATGCTTCGCCCGATCCAGGGGGGTTGGATGGCTGAATGGTTAGCGTGCGCACGCTGTATCATACAGTCTATCATTGAGTCGACTGGCGTGGTTTCAAATCCTTGGTTGTACATGGCAAGGAGTAGGGGCGTCTGTCCAACCTCGTGGGTTTTCTCCGGGTCCTCCGGTTTCCTCCCACTGCTAAAGACCCCTACGCGCAAGCGAATTATGTAAATAAAATTAAACCATATGTTAGTCCCGAAATGACCTAGTTTGTGTCGAGTGGACGTTAAACCCCATTTCTCTCTCTCTCTTTCGCCCGATTCAACCTGTCGATTGAATCACCTTTCACGTCACATGGCGGCGTCTATGTCTTCAATCTATCACGTGACGTCTCGATATGAGTGGTGATTGGCTAATGAATTCTATATTCGGCCGAATGCTTCGGCGAAGCGGACACACCAGGCGAATATATCAATCCTGTTTGATTCGGGCGAATAGAAATTCGGCCGAATGACAGTGGACACACTAGGCAAATTTCGACGACGATTGATTCGGCCGAATCATTCGGCTAGTGTGTCCACCGCTTAATGTAATAAATAATAATAAAAACTTCATTTAATATGCAAATTAATTAGTTTACAACAAAGTAATTGATCTTTCTTAAGATTAAGCGTCTTAAAATGTATTTCTATATTTGATTTTCTCTTACCTTTTAAGGATAAATATATAAGATCATTAGCAGAAACAGAGAATGTACGAAAAAGAATGATGAAACAAATAGAGGATGCGAAAATTTTCGGAATTCAGGGATTCTGTAAAGATTTATTAGAGGTAGCTGATATTTTGGGTGCAGCAACTGAAAGTGTTCCCAAAGACCAACTTACAAAAGAAAATATCCACCTTAAGAATTTATTTGACGGACTTACAATGACAGAGTCACAGCTACAAAAAGTGTTTACAAAAAATGGACTTGTAAAAGTTGCTCCAGGAGTGGGTGAAAAGTTTGATCCATTCGTACACGAGGCTTTGTTCGAAGTGCCAACAACTGAAAAAGAGAAAGGTACAATTGCTGTTTTACAGAAAACAGGCTATAGATTAAAAGATAGAACAATTAGACCTGCTTTAGTAGGTGTTTTTAAAACAGGATAATGATATTATATTAAACATTGTGCAGTATGATACATTTTTACTCAAAATACCTATTTTTGTCATCTACACAGATTCATAATGAACATCCATGGAGATGATGCTTCCATGAAACTGTTTAAATACAACAAGAATTGCTTTTTCATGAAACTAATGCCACTTAAAGTTGCAATTTCATATTTTTACGTTATATTTTTAAAATTTATTAAAATAAAGCCTTAAAATAGATGGTATCTATAAACAGTCCTACCTTGTTAAAGAATAATCCTATTAATCCTATAATTCACTATTGCCAGTTGAGAAATTGGCAAAAATATCATTTTCCTCTTCAAATTCAAACATTTGAGGATAGCTACTCCATGGTGGAGAATAGAAAACAAGGCAGGTAATTGTGTTATTATTTCCGGTGTAAATGATTTTTAAGTGTGAGAATGACACCTATAATAGTGAGTTGACAACCTATTGAGCAAAAGACATAGAAATAATTATGTTTTGACTTTCTTAGAAAATATGAAATTGTAACTTTAAGGAAGTCAGCTTAAATGAGTATTGAAATTAGATAAATGCATTTTGCAATAGATTCTTTTCTAATTTTTTTTTTTTTTTTTTTTTTTTTTAAATTTGAAAGTAAATGAATGCAACCTACCATATCATTCTTTTCTTCTTTTTAAAAAGAAAAATGACCATTAAACAGGCCATACCAAATATATTTTAGTGTAACAAGTGTGTTAAATGAAATGTTTATCTCAGTTAAACATGTGCAATTATCCATGGTACCTTTTCACATATTTGTTTTTGTTGGCGGTAAGACCCCAAATTGGTATTACATCAGTTTTTTTGTCAGCAATGGGAGATATTTAATATATTAAATCAATGAAGTCAACTTACTTTAATTTTAAATTAACAGATTAGGAAATTATGTTTATTTCAAAGATTCACAATTTCTAAATATCTGAAAATTCACCAAAAGGCATAAAAAGTGGATGATTATATATGCATGTAATTGAATATTCGACTCATATTCAAATAATGAGTTAAAATACATGTATATTATTTAAATGACCATCGTTCATAAGGTAGCACGTCATTTCAGACTCAACACAGACGACCTTTCGGACTCACTCTGAGTCAAAGGGTATCATTTCTGTCAAACTTAATAGAAGAAGATCATACATACTTCTATAAATTTTATTAATGAATTTGAGCTTGAGGGATGTTATATTTGATTACATTGTACTTGAGGAACTACTCATGATTATTCTGTTAGAGAAAAGAAATATTTCAATTATCGCAACTGGGCATTAAGCTGCATTTAACACATAAGATTTATTTTTCACGTGAAATTTAATGGTTGACTGTTACTTGTCATTGTTAAACCGGGGGTACATATATAAATGTTGCATCCAGTCTATATTACATTATCAGACTTAGAAAAAATAAAAACAAATCTGTACCTGGAATATTTATTATAACGGAACACATATTTCTGTAAATTATTAGGTCTAAGCATTTTGATTGATAAGCCTGATTCATGAAGAATTATGAATACTGAAATGGTAGAAACATGTGTGAATGTCTACTTTCGCTTACATTTAGTTTTTAATGGGTAAGAATGCTGATAATTCTGTTAAATTTGTGAATATAAAATGAATGTTACTAATAAGATGAGTCAAATAATTAATTGTGTACCAGAAATATTTATTGTGTCTATTATGATATAATAATAATGTAATATAAACAACATCAGGTTTATTAACTGAATTCTGTTTCAGACATTAAATTCCTCTCATTATACATTTTACATACAAATGTGATTAGAAATGATGTAAAAGCATTTTCCAATGGATAAAGAAGAACATTTTGTGATCATTTTCATTAAGTTCCATTTCTAAAGGAATAAGATCAATTGAAAAAAATTACATAAAATGGTAATAAAGTGAATTTAAGACCACTGTTGACTTTTAGAAATTATAAACACTGTAGTTGAACAATATTGATATCTTGATGTGCTATGTATATATGGAGATAACTAAAATATATGATGATTTTGAATGTACCAGTAGTATAGATATTTCAATAGTTATGATTGTTATTATTTTGACGTATGATGAATTACATGTGTATTGTGTATATATATATATATCATAATTAAAATTATTTGTCATAAATACATTTATGTCTAAAATTTGAAATTGGCTTAATTATTTTCTCACAAACATAAATTTCATTCAGAGATATTATTAAGTTGATGTTTTCCTAAGAGAGACAAAATATTTACACCACCAATACTTAAAGATACATTATGGAAGATGAGATTAAGAGCTGCCGGTTCTAACTCTAATAAGTTAAAAACTAGATAATTTAAAGGGGATATGCTGAAAATTTAAGTCAAATTGCTCCACTCTGAACTGAATTACAAGCGATCATCATTACTAAAGTCGGTACGATAAAAAACACAGTCTCGGTTATCAATTTTAGGATTTAAACATGAATGAGCGCTGAGCAGCAGAACAGATTCAAATCCAATGAAAATCCAACACATAAGATGCCTTGAGATTTGATTAAGGTCTTTTCATGTTAATAAATGTCTAATTAATAGTTTAGATAACATTTCAGGCCTAAAGAAAGACCTGCAATAGGCAGATTTAGCTCTTTCATAATGCATGTTTAATGCTGAATGCCTCAATGTAGATTTAAATTAAAATGTTAACAGGAATATTTCTAGACCTCCATTGGCCATCACTGATTCATGCACAGAACAAAAAAACGATACACAAGCTATATTTGGGGCTTATTTTAACATAAAACATCATTCATGAACAATTAAACTATTGCTAAGTTGTATTTTTGTTCGATGGAACCATTTGAATGATTTTTGTTTAACATCCTTACCTTTTTTTCCTTTGGGTGCCCCATGGTTGTTTTTCAGGGAATCCAGTATTGTTCTGGTACGACTGAGTGTCTCTACTTTCCATATATATATCTACCATACTGTTAGTGGAAATAACTACCCTCTAAATACTTTCGATGGGAATATATAATTTAATTAAAGGGGCATTAGGTAAGATTAGATAAAGTGCTAACAGTTCTTGTTATAATAGTTAAAAAAAACAGATAATGAAAACAGAATATGTTGAAAATTGCTTCACTCTGAACCAAGATATTGGCGATTCAGTTTAGCTTAGTCGTGAATTTCATTACTAACGTTGTCAAGATATTAAACAATGTCTTGATTATCCATTTTTACGTTAAATTATCCATCACAAAATGTATTGAAATCCACTAAATATTGCAGGCTAATGATGACATCGAGATTGACTATGGCCTGGATAAGTTAAGGTCTAATTAATAATTTACATAACATTTCAGGCCTAAAGAAAGTTCCCACAATAGGCAGAAAAACTCCTATCACATGCCAGATGGTTGGTTGTGGTCTATTATTGTTTATGTTTGTCCTGCACCTTTCGAATGAGTTTGTCCATCCATCACACTGTTTGGGACATAATAACTCTCCTTCTAATTGAACAAGAATGTTCAAACTTGGTGTAGGTGTTTATTAGGTGAATGCCTTGATGGGAGTTTGAAGATGAGCATTAGGGTAAGCAGAGATCAGCAATTTGATTGGTTAATGCTTTGGGACACAATAACTTTAGTTCTAATTAAATGAGAGTGATGAAACTTGGTATATAGTTTCATTACATCAATACCTTGACTAAGTTCGATAATGAGCATTTTCTGCTCAGGTTAAGCAGAGTAATAAGCAATTTGATAGGTTGGGACTTTGGAGCTCAATATCTCTCCTTCTAATTGAGGTAGAATTTTCAAACTTGGTGTAGGCGTTCATTAGGTGAATGCATTGATGGAATTCGAAGATGAGCATTTGATTGGTTGATGCTTTCGGACATGATAACTTTCGTTCTAATTAAGTGAGAGTAATGAAACTTGGTGTATAGTTTCATCATATGGATACCTTGACTAAGTTCAATATTGAGCATTTTCTGCTCAGTGTAAGCAGAGCGATAAGCAATTTGATTGGTTGAGACTTTGGAGCTCAACAACTGTGATTCTAATTGAGTGATAGTGGTGAAACTTCATGAATACTTTTATTACATCAACACTTTAATGTCCGATGCCGAGCATTTTCTCCTAATTGAGGTAGAATATTTCAACTTAGTGTAGGTATCTTATTAGGTGAATGCCTCGAAAGAATTCGATTAAGCAGATTTTCCACTAAGGCTAAGCAGAGATAAGCAATTTGGTTGAGACTTTGGAACACGGTAACTTTAGTTCTAATTGGGTGAATGATGAAATTTTTGAGTATGGATTCATTATATCAATGTTCAATGATGAAATTTTTCTGCTTAGGCTAAGTAGCGATAAGCCATTTTATTGGTCAAGACTTTGAAACTGATATAGATGTTCATTAAGTGAATGATTTGACTGAGTTAAATGATTAACATTTCCTGCTAAAGCTAAGCAGAGCTAAGCAATTTCATTGGTCGATGCTTTGGGACAAGGTAACTTTGATTATAACTGATGCAGAGTGATGAGACATATTGTATAGTCTCACTACCAGGGCCTTTATTCACGAAAAATTAAACTAAGATAATCGAAATTTTAAGAAATATTGCAATTGGCTGACCAGTAAAATCAATTTGCATACATCCAATGAAGTTGCAGTATTTCTTAAAATTTCGTGTGTAACTTAGTTTAAGTTTTCGTGAATAAGGGCCCAGGTACTTTAAAACCTTGACTAAGTTTGATTGTGAACATTTTATGCTTAAGACTAAGTATAGATACTCAATTTGTTTGCTCCATACTTTTGAAAAAGATGAATGCAGAATTAATGTGTCAACTATTTATTTTGGGATTTCAGTGGGGGACATAAGCTTGTTTGAATTACATATGTGAGCACCAGAATCTTTTTAAGTGCTTAGGGCTTCTGTGTGTCTTAATCCAGCCCTGCATCCACAGCGGTCTCGAATAAATAATTAACAGAATTTATTGAAATTCAAAATTTTATTCAGACTGGATAATACATGTACATGTAGTCTCTGGATTGTACACAAATAAATGAGGTTTCCAGTGGAGAAAAATTGTGTTATACTCATGACCTTTACCAGTTACAAAGAATTATTTCCATTTCTTTTGACATAATAAAATGTCACAGTAACAATCATAAATTTATAAAACATCTTTTAACAAAAATATATTAACTGTACCATTAGTCCGATAAACTACATGTTGAATAACCTACGAATGTTGATTAGTAATAAATAGATGTATAACATGATTTATGTAATAATAATAGGTCCATTTATAAAGCGCTATATACAAAACGTGCTCATGGCGCATGTACATTCATATTTTGCATAGAAATCTGAATTTCAAAGAATTCAAGCACTTCAATAATAAATTCACACATAGCAAAAAAAACAAAAAAAATTTCAAAAATCAGAATAAAAATCAGTTAATGCTTATCTGATAAGATTGTTGGGCATAAAGAGATAAAAGTTTCATGCTACGAAAGGTGACCTCGAAAACATATCTCAACACTATACCTTGTTCACATATAACATGGGCTTATCTTAAAAGTGACGGTCTTGACTTAGCCAAGATGAAATCTCAATAGAGCTTCTCTTTGAAGACCAGATTTCTATATGTTAAATTACATTACCGTATTATATGTAATAACCGCTGTCCCCCACCCCAGTTCCGGGACTCGAAGTACTCCTCAAATACAACATTTGTTAAGCTGTACAACCATGATAAAAGTAAACCAGTATGGTACTTCTGGATTTTTTGTTTGATTCTGTTAAAATAAGTACTCCCTTATCTTTGAACATTTTGTAAGGTTCCAGGCAGTTATAACATTGAATATGGTATGTTGTATAAAGTCTTTTGGAGAACTAGACTGAAAAAATCAGCTTTACTCTAATTTCTTAAGTTCTTGAACACCAGGGAAATACCAATAGGTTCCTTTCACATTTTTACTCAATCTCATGATGTCATCTGAATGGCCATCTCCACCAGCACCAACCATTCTATCCAACATATACTCAAAGTTCTGGGGACTGGCTGCATATCCAATGAAGAATAATCCAGATTCTCCAGCCAAGGAACCAAAAGGCATGGACTGACGAACTATTTCAACTGGTTTTGCTGCATTAAAGGTATTGCCTGAAATTAAAAATCCATAATAGTAAAATGAAAAGAGCCTTCACAATACCATCAGGCTAGCGATGGCATCAAGAGTTTATTATCGTTTGGACAAGTTAATTAATAATTTAGATAAAAACAATTCAGGTCCAAAGAAAGACCTGCAAAAGGCAAATTTAGCGCTTGTATAATGTATGTTTAATATATTATAATCAATGAGAAATAGATTTTATACTGATATTGCTAAGATCAATAAGCCTATATAGCTTATTGAAGCCTAATTAGGATCTGTCCTGTCTGGCTATGTAGGAGGTAATGAATCAATTAATTAATGCTGCTTATTATAAATACAGTAATGATTTCTAGACCAACCCAATTTAAGATTTAGCTCTTAGGGGCGTTGATAAATAAATAGCCACTTGGGTGTCATGAGCATTGTTTTGTTTAAAATTTAAACTAGGTCATTTCGGGACTAACATGGTTCAATTTCATTTCAATAATTCGCTTGCACGTAGGGTTTTTTAGCAGTGGGAGGAAAAGAAGGACCCAGAGAAAACCTACAAGGTTGGACAGGCAACCCTACTCCTTGTCACGTTCATGCTGGGAATTAAAACCACGCCACTTGACTCAATGACAGACCTTAGGCACATTGGTTAAACCACTAGACACCAACCCCCTGCTTAAAACTAACAAATCTGGAAATGAAGAGCAACCAGGTTACTTTTGGTTTTTGGGGGTTTTTTTTAATTATTATTTTCATACAGAAAAGGGAAGCAAAATCTTACTAGGTGTTCCCAATTATTGTGGCCTTACCTGCTGTCATCCTTGCTACGTGTGATGTAATAGATTTTCTACTTAATTCTGTACTATCACTTCTAGCTCGACCAACCCAGCCTTCTAATGTTTTATCTACAAATATAATTAAACGATGCAATTGATTCGGAAAAGTGGAAAGATGCGATAGAAATGGAAAGAAAGGATAGAAATGGAAAGAAAGGATAGAAATGGAAGGATAGGAAAGAAATGGAAGGACAGGATAGATAGGGAAGGATAGGAAAGACAGCATAGAAATGGAAGGACAAGAAAGAAATAGATGGATGGGATATAAATGGAAGGACAGGAAAGAAATAGATGGATGGGATATAAATGGAAGGACAGGAAAGAAATCTACAGATGAGCATTTTCACATACCATTCATTGATTCGAAAATGTCAAGGGTTCTATTACATGACATGTAATCTAGTGTGTACATGGTTCATTTGTTTTTTGTCCCATCCAAATGACTAGGCACCCTTAACTTGTCAGCCCTGCAGGTATAAACTAACATTGGGAACCAGGCTCAAAAAATCCTAACAGAAAGAGAGAGAGATGGGGTTGAACGGCCAATCAACACAAACTATGTCATTTTGGGACTAAGATATGGTTCAATTTCATTTCAATAATTCACTTGCCCAGGGTCAGTAGCAGTGGGAGGAAACCGGAGGACCCAGAGAAAACCCACAAGGTTGGATAGGCGACCCTATTCCTTGTCAAGTTCAAGCGGGGAATCGAAACCACACTACCTGACTCAATGACAGACCTTGTGATTTTACGCGCACACGTTAAACCACTAGACCATCCAATACCCTGAAAAATCCCCAAAAGCCAGGATTCAAACCAGAGACATTCTAGTCCAGACTCCTGTGCCCTTACCACTCAACTACTGCAGTGCCAAAAATGATAGGAAATGTGTTTTTAAAGTAAATATTGAGTCACCACTGACACTGATATTTCTAATAGTTTAATCAACTTCAGGAATGATTGGATTCACTTAGTATATCCAGGGATTCGATACCAAACTTGTATTCGCGCAGTCACACCTATTCTCTCACTTCTTTCTACACCAAAGCATAAAGCGTAAAATTTTTAAAATCCCCCAGCTGCATCTATTATCTTGGTCGCTGCGATTCTTAACCATGTGATGTGAAAGCTGATGCAATCAACTGGTGAATTGGGCAGCTAATTCACCTAGTGTGTCCACGCAACCAGCCGAATGAATTTGGTTACAATTCAGTGCCGAATGATTCAGACTGAAATTTGCCTAGTGTCTCTACTGCTTAAAGGCTCAATACCACTCTTGTTGTAACTGAATAATATGTCCCAATCTTTATTCTGGTCAACAAATTGTACTATTTTACAATATTCCAATTCATTGATGATACAAATTTCATCTTAACACACCTAATTTAAAAAATTGGAAAAATTCAACTAAATGATTTGAAAAGCCTGATGTAAAAGCTTTTCCAATGTGACTTGGATTTAAAAATATTTTTGAACCCCCCGGACAAGTAAAATAGGATTTAATGGATAATTTACACAACAGGTAGGACAATAACACATCTAGTACTTAGAATAAGGCTATTTTTTATTTTCTGGAGCTGTCAAGCCAGCAAGAGTGTTATTGTAACTTTAAAGTGCACTAGTTAGAGAACTCCACCACCAACCCATAAACATGTATACACCTAAATTATAAAATTATTAGAATAAATCTTTAAAAATGTTGACATACCCTTTTCACTGTTAATAACATCATGTTGATGTAACCATTTCTGTGTAATCTGTAAAGAAACCAATCTTAAATTATCATCAAATCCAACTTTTTAACGTTAATGTTTATGACTTGCTGGTGGCATATTTGGTCAAAGGAAACATTGTACATTCTTCATGGTAATATAACTATTCAGGGGCGGGGGGGAGCCGAATGGTCTAACATGAGTGTGTTGGATCATAAGGTCTTTCATTGGGTAAAGTGGCATGGTTTTCAATCCGCATTTGTGCGTGACAGAGATTAGAGTCACCTGTCCAGCATCAGGACATTTTCTCTGTGTCCTCCCACTGCTAAAGACCCATACTCATGTGCAAATTATTGGAGTAAAATTGAACAATATGCTAGTCACGAAATGACCAAGTTTATATCTCTCCCTCTGTCCCCATCTGTCCCCCTCTCCCTCTTTTTTTTGCTATAGCTTTTTTTTCAAATGCAATAGTCAAAAACATTACATTCTTCATGGCAACAAAACCATTCAGAAAATCCAATCACTTTTTTTTTAACCGCAGGGGCCAAAACCATTACTTACAACATAGCTTCCACCCGTTTCTTTTTCTACTGCAACTTCTTGTCGACCTTCTTCATCAGCACGATTTTCAGTTCCTGAAATTAGACGATGTATTTATAGTAGTCATAGAAATAACAGGTGAAGTGGTCTGTGTCATATTGGATGTTGTTATTGACCTAACCTTAATCAACCTTGATCACTTCTATAATAATATTATGTTAATTAATATAAGTATGGTTTCTGTGGAATGACTACTGGAGACCCCTCCCCAACCCCTCTCCCATGAAAAAACAGGACAGTGTTATTAGATCCCCCCCCCCCACCCTCCAGAAAACAGCAGTATAAAAAATTCAGTTTGATATCAAATGTGTAAATTTGTTCTTTTTGTTTATTTAGCAGCTGAAATTGAACTAAATTGAATTTAACTAACCATCAATAAATCCAGACATATCTCGGCCGTTTTGATAAACAAAACTGTAAACATCTTCGAAGTCTTGAATACTGTCTTTTGGTAAATTCCTGGTAATAAGTTGGGCTAATTCAAACAACTTGCTGGGTGTGTTACATTTAGCATGGATGAAAACATCGCCACCTAAAATACAAATAACAAATTCATATAGTTAAAGATACATTATGGGAGATCATCATTACTAAAGTCGGTACGATAAAAAACATAGTCTTGATTATCCATTTTTTTATTTAATCTGAAGCAGGAGATCGTGTTCTAATCCAGTAAATATCGTAGGCTAGCGATGCCATCAAGAGTTGATAATGGTCTGGATAAGTTAATTAATGTCTTAACCCTTAACCGGTCATTGTCGACTATAATCACCGCAACGTTATACAGCTAAGTGGTCACGGCCAACTAAAGTCGACCACAGCAAGAACCTTTTTTATAAGCCACATTTGAGTATTTAGTTTCTTATTTAATTGATATGGCCCTGCATGCGTGTCAGACAGGAACTTGTCTTATCAAGGGCATTGAGAAAAACATGTCTTTGTTAAAATTTTTGGACGAAAAACGTAACTTAACGATGTCGGGAACATTAAAGACGCTCGAAGTGGTTGAAATACTTATGAATTATTCTGACTCGGATTATGTCGATGACAAACATTCTGAAGACGATATTTCTGATGAAAGGATTTAGAATGATTTGCAAATTATAGATCAACTTATCCCCTTCAACTTTTTTATTGGTGTCAAGAGTCTATCACTTATAATTATTCGGCAGTAGTCGATTGAAATAGGCAAACAAAATATTTCACGTCAGCCTTTATTTAGCCTGACCACTTGATGTCATGTATTTTTGAATTTTAGTGGTTTCCATGTAGTTAAATCATTACTCCTGAAAAATACCTTGCAAAAAGGTCAGTGATTGGATTTTCGTTAATTATTGGTAGGTGAGTGTAGCCTTGTGTATTTAATACGATATCCTCCAAAATATGTTTTCTTGGTGACACGGTTAATTTCTATTAGTACAGGGGCCTGTTTCACTAAATTTTAACTATGATAAAAATCCAAAATTTAGTAATTTGATTGGATAATATAAGATTAATTTTAGTGCTTAGTCAATGAAAATTGACAGAAATTTGGATTTTATCTGTAGTTAAGATTTCAAGAAACAGGGCCAAGGGCTATAAGTACTATATTCGGCCATTAAAACAGAACATGTATGCAGTATAAAAGTGACTTGTCTATAAGTATTATTGGGGGGGGGGGCCTTGTGGTCTAGACTGCCGTACTCATCCGACCTCTAGCTGGCCGGTCACCTCTGGCTTGCGGTTGTGGTTTTGATTCCTGGTGTGAACGTATGTGGCTTTGTGATAGGGGCGCCTTCTCAACCTTGTGCGATATCACCTTTGGTGGAAGCGGATGTTAAACACTAAGAATAACATAACAAGTACTATAGGGCCATTAACAATATGCAGTATAAAAGTGACATTTATCAAGCTATCAATGTAATGGAGGCTACCATGGTATACCAGATATCATGGGAGTAAAAGTAATCAATTACCCCAGGTTAAATATATTTTCAGGTGAAAAAAAAAAAGGATATAATAAAACTGAAACCCACCTGAGCTTGGCATATCACCTAATGCACCTTTACGATGTGGGTAGGTGTAGCCTTTCTTTGTTTTACCTGCCACCTGAAATATTATTAAAACTACATTATTAACGTCCACTCAACACAAACTAGGTCATTTCGGGACTAACACATGATTCAATTTTATTTCAATAATTGGCTTGCGCATAGGGGTCTTTAGCAGTGGGAGGAAACCAGAGGACCCAGAGAAAACCCATGAGGTTGGACAGGCGACCCTACTCCTTGTCACATACAACCGGAGAATCGCAAACACGCCAGTTGACTCAATGACAGGCCTTATGATACAGCGTGCACGTGCTAACCACATAAAAAAGAAAGTTGGTTTCCTTATTCTGAATATCTGGAATGAAATGTGGTTTACCTTTCTATACCAACTTGGCTAAGGAAGATGTGCAGACACCATAAGGGAAATTTTGCATGAACAGTGACATTTCTGCCTACTCTTAGTCTTAGTCAAATCCTAACGGCCAAAAGTTTTTGTAGGTACACACCAATGTGTACACAAGACCTAAATTTATCATGCCAATCAAAGACAATAAATGTAATTGAATTTATTGTGTTTATCTGTAAGATCATTTTTAATAATATTTTCAAAGATTGGGATAATGCTTAAAAGTCATGTCTTCCTTGAAAAAAATATCTTTTTGAATACATCAAACTGAAATTGTTAAAATTCAAAAGGCTTCTTTGTCCCATGACCTTCAGAATCTATAAATTTAAAGTCAATTTGATAATAGCTTTAGCTTCTAAAGCTTGTGGACGTCAGACGGACTGTCAGGGTGACAACAATTTATGACCACATATCAATATAGGCGCATAAAAATTGATCAGCTGGCATTTTGAAGTGAATGCTGTAATGAAAACTGTGTCAGCCATCTTGAAAATATTTATGTATAGTAAACAGCTGCCAAACCTGTGCATAAAAGTTGGGTCCAAAACCAACTCCAGCTAGAATCTCATCCTCCTCATCCTTGAGTTTAGGATCTGTTACTTGATCAACATATTTCTGTAACTTGGCCACAGACTTGGCTACTTCATTTGAATTAGCTGTTGGTTTCAAATTTATCCACAGATACAAGGCATGGTTTTTACCATCAGAATAAACCTGGAAAATAATAGGAAGAATACAGCCCATGAAAAATAAAACAGAACAGATGCTTTCTCACAACTAGTGAGCTGGGATACCCCATGGGATACCCCACTCAATTCTCAAGGTTGTGTTCTCCATGGAAAATAAACATGTTTTCTGACAGCAAGTGAGTTGAGATGCCCCACTGAAGTCTAAATCTAGTGTTGTCCATGGATACTTTCTCACAGCCAGTGAGCTGGTATACCACACTTAAGACTCACTGCAGTGACGTCCATGGAATATAAACAAGATTCTTTGCCACAGCTTGCAGGTTAGGACACCCTGAGTCTCTGTTGTGATACTTTCATACAGTGAGGGTGTTTACCACATTAGGACTCCCAACTCAAGTCTCCTTGAGCTGATACCTTATAGAACATCTTAGAATCCAACCTGTAAACGTCTGGAATTTCTTGCTTATGCTCATTATTTCTGCTCTACAATTTACAATTTTCTTTGCTTTAATGAACATTCAATTCCCACCACTGATATTTGTAAACTACCAGTGACGTCTGCTCATGCTATCAGCAGAAAGATCAAAGGTTCTGTAAGGTGGTAGCCGAATGATCTTATTCTAGTTCCACACAAGCCACTTCTGTTACTCTCAAAATTTCACAGATGGCTACTTACTACAACAGACCCAATATTCATCACGAAAAATCAACACAAACTAACCGAAGGTTGATGATTACTACAACATTTTCTGTAAATGTCACACCGTCCCACAGCCACCACCCCTGGGTTTGGCTACAAACTACAATAGATTGAATATTCTTCTGGAAAAACAAAAGAGGACTTACTGAAGGTTGACTTTCTGGAGGACCAGCAGCAGACACACTACTTGGTAAAACTTTCATGACTGTTTCCAGTGGACTTTCATCTTTATTGGTATATTTATAGACACCATATCCAGTACCAAGAGTTATAGCCCCTAGTAGTAATGGTCTGGTTGATCTGTACACGCTCTGGCCGGCCTTAGAACTCAGACTTCTTCTAGCTGCAAATACATATCATGTAATAAATCATTTCTAGGACGGACCAAATGGAACATAGAATATGTGAGGGAAAAGGGTAATGGCAATGGAACCAATCCACCAAAGGGTGCTTGGGTGGCCGAATGGTTTAGATCATAAGGTATGTCATTGAGTCAAGTAACATAGTTTCAATTCCCTGCTTGTATGTTACAAGGAGTAGGATCAACTGTCTAACCTCCCCCAGTTTCCTCCTACAGCTAAAAACACTCTACTAAACCACATGTAAGTCCCAAAATGACCTAATTGAATCACAATGTCATTGTATTAATTCATAATAAAAATTGACGTCAAACGAGGTGTTGTTGAATTTCTCTGTTTAAAAAGCTCAATGTGTATGTATATACGCCAAAATGACGATAGAGACCATGCGGGAGCAGGAGCGGGGGGGGGGGAGATACATTGTCTCAGGAACCTGGCAAACCCCCTCCTGCAAAAATTCCTGGATCCGCCCCTGAAACACCCTTTCTCTCACTTTCTATTCTTTTAAAAAATATGATATAATACAAAACTTATCCCAAATATTTGTACATATTTTTGTTTCATGTATTTTTAGATAAATAAATGCTTATTAATACTTTTGTACATTTTTCTTAGATAAATAAATGGATACCGTATTATTGGGTTTTTTACGTTTAGTTTTGTTGCAGTATTTATACCTTTATACCATCAATATATATATGTATCTATCTAGCTAATTTATCAAAATATAAATACTGTGTCACTATTTACTGAACTAAGCTATTTTTTTTTTCACATGTATATGATGAATAAAACATGAGTATGAAGGGACATTAATCAATCAATCAGTCATAACATCCCTTTACTTGAAAACATGGATATTAAAGATACCTTCCCGTGCACAAACTGGGTGATTTGATGATATATTTGGTCTAAAAACATATTCAAACTAATTAATCTAATAAAATTTTGCTTCAAATCCTTCTCGAAACAATGTAATCACGAGGGAATACCCCTGCTATAAAAATCTAGTAAAAGAAGGCATGTTTGTGTCACGTGACTTGGCTGACGTTGTACTTAGCAATGGATGCGAAGCCGGAGGAGAATTCATTGCATATACTAGATTGTGTTGTATTTAATCGCTGTCCAATTATCATAAATATCAAAGTCTATTAAATTCTCAGATTATCCACAGCCCACGTTTCAGAAACTCTTGTACGTTTAAGCTCACCATCAAGTTTATCAACATATACATCAGCTCTCACTAATGCTGAGAAATCAGTTAATCTTTGCGTGCAACCTTTGACGTCACTCGAGCAGACATCCCTAATCGTCAGGTTGCCGGTTAGGGAAACCCTTACATTTTTGGCCTGTATGCACTTTATGGGTGTTTTTCAGGGAATCCAGTATTTTTCTAGTAAGTTTGGATGTTTCTACTTTCTATATATACCAAAATTGCCATACCTTTATTGGAAACACTAGTCATTTCGGGACTAACATGGTTTAATTTTATTTCAATAAGTTGCTTAGCTGTGTGAGTAAACCGAAGGACTTGGAGAAAACCCAAAAGGTTGGACAGGCAACCCATGTCACATACAAGCCGGAAATCTAAACCACACCCCTTGACTCCTTGACAGACCTAAAGCACATGGGTTAAATCATTTGGCCAACCAGTATATATTTTGTCATGTATTCTGTGTATTCATATATTGTTTAATATAATTGTGATAATTAACTAAATAAAAACAGATTTTTTAAAATATCTTTCTAGATTTCAAATACAAATATTTTTTGACATTATATTTTTATTATAAATAGAAAAAAAAACAAACATATATTTTGATGTTGCATAACAAAAACAGTGCAAGTCATAGCCTATGAATCAATGCATCTTTTAATCAAATTTATTATTTCTAGTTTTAAAGAATAAAATCTCATAATTTCTATTTCATAATTTTAAGAATTTATAATTACTGCACATTCTTATGTAATTAATGTTTTAGTTGCATAACCATAAATATGATATCACTCATAACAAAGAGCTATTATTTTTTCTATCTCCTAAAATTATAGGTCAAGACTATGTTTCAGAGTTAAAATATCTGTATCTTTGCACTGAAATAAAATTATCTAATTATGATATAAGCATGTTATACATGTATACATATTGACCTCTGTTTGACATGCAATGATATCAGCATAAAGTTTCAGAGTAAATATCTGACAATTGGCCTTGCTCTACTTTCTGCTCTTATCTATTCTGTCTTATCTCTGCATTTATTGTAAAGTTACCAGTTATGCAATTAGAAATAACCATTTTATTTGCATGCGATGAAACAGAAACATGCCAGTGATCAATATAGTATAGGACGTGTATTTTAAAAAAACACATTACATAAACGTACATAAACGTCCCCATTAAATCCGGGTCAATAATGCACAGATGATATTCGCTAGAAAAACAACACGGCTCTATTTCAAGTGTGCATTATTCGTGATATGTCATGGTAAACTCTCGCTTTTTATATGGGTCAAATACTCCACTTACCTGACTGGCACGTTCTAGAAGTTTGTGCCAAAAGTCGCATACATGATTTCAGGTGTGCCATGATGACTGTCACTGTCGTTTGGTGAACAAACTGCGAAGAGTAGACTTTAACCGGTGTCTTGGCTTGTGGTGGGATACGTCTGGACAAATGAGTACGAATCACGTGATAGGTAGTTGTACAACTGGCGATGGTCACATGACTAAACACTTTCCACACGGGCAGTTTTTCTAGAAGTTTGTGAACAAATGGCACAAGGTAACAATCCTATGCGACACTGCACATCAATCTGTTTCACAGAGAATTACGAGTCTCGTATAATATCTCTGTCATAGATGACTGCCTTAACACGTGCTGTCACAGCACGCGGTGTGAATCATTGGCTGAATGGCGCGTGCATTGTTTACATAAGACATAACTGCTTCGGAGAGAATGCTGCATTTTAGTCATTTTAATACCCATTTTCACTAAATCGGAAATAATTTTTACCTACAAATACGTCAAACGCCTTTATTTATTTTTCCAATACATACAAAAAATGTTTTAGAATTTAATTTGTGGCAGGAAAAAAGTTAATATTTCTAGCTCATTAAGCCACATCAATGTCATCCTTATCAGTGATTGTCGCGGCCAAGCAAATATTCACTGCGGATCTGTGTGACTGCACATACGCACGTAGGCCCAATAACCAGGTTTTCTCCGGGTCCGGATCTGTAAAGAAAAATACCACGACGAGAAATGTATAAACTAAATTTAGAAATAGGGCCTATATCAGAAAGAAAATGCAGAATAAAATCATAAGATTACTTGACTGTAAAATGCAAAGTATGTTTATTTTCGCCCAAAAGCTATTCAATATCACCTTAATTAGTTCTTGCCATTACAAGTTTACATTATTTTCTATTGATTTTACATCGCAATCTTCATGTGTCTTAGATAATAAAGTAATAAAAAATTCTTCTTTGCGTATGTTCCAGTCTGTCACGTTGCTTCATTAACTGTGGCTTTTTCAAACTCGTGTGTGTTAAATTACATAAAAACAACAAAAAAAGGCTTTATTTTCTTTTGGCCACCTATATCCATGATGTAGTCGTATATTTTCGTTGAATTGTCGATTCTCGAGATACGGTGGACAGAAAGATATTATGTATCCCGCAAAATAATAATGCTTAATAGCTTCTCTACGAACATAAAATTCCAAGGCCTACTATATCGGTAATTAAAATATTCAAATTCACGGAGTTTAATGTAAGTTCCCCCCAGGGCTAACTCAGTTGAGTTGGCAATCTTAGAAAATTGGGAGTCATATAGAGTTTATTGGGCATTGTAAACTTATTGATGAGAATTTTGTCGGTAGTTAGATAATGCCTTTTGCTAAAGGCTATGTTCAACAGAAATAAACATAAGTTCCCCCTAGATTCATAACAATTCAAAGGCCATTAAAAGAAAACCCTTTACGTTTGATTTGAAACTACCGTATGGTAATTTTCATGAGGCGCCAAAAAATGGAAATAAGGTGTACATAATGGCCGCACATTCAGACGGTCCCTTCACTTTTATATTTTGTGACTGGTAATTAAGGCTACAGATCCTCTCCATATTGGCTTCAATATTAAATCCACATGTTTTGACCTAAAACATATTATTTTTCAACTTTCCGGTATTCTTATTATAACACAACGAGCCAAACAAGAAAGCTAAAGGCCAGTAACTCATGAAGGCATATTTTCATAACCACCCGGTTCAGCGAATACTCACGATGAAATGAAATGGGGTTTAATATGCCCGGACGTTAGCGCGTTTCAGCCAACTTTTAGTTTTATTCCATTTACCAAGGGTTCTTTCACGTGCACGACAACGGGTCCGCGGGACTTCTGTTTTCCGTTCCACCCGAACGACTAGCTACGAATCCTCATGGCCACAACTAGGGTGGGGTCCACTTGTTGACAAATCAGATCTTACTTGGCGGAAACTTCCTTGATTGAAGTGTAACTTGATGCCCTGCCGATTTAAGTCATTTCCTTAGCAACGAGGTGCAAATAGCAACGGAGAAGCGTCCCAGATAAGAAGAAATGATTTGAACTGCAGGGATTTAACGTCCTATGTGCACTGACGGTCTGTACTCCATAGTTTACGGGGGAACTTTTGCCCAGACAGCGGTGCTACAGCCTACTCTTGTAGAGAATTCCAACCGTCAAGGGTGCATGCCAATGTGTACACGGTAACTATAGGTTTTGAGACCGATTCGAACGACTAGACACCAATATCTCCGTTGTGCACCACAAGGGGGAATCGCGCCGGAAAATCCCGACGAACTTTCTTCGCCAACACAGCCCTCGGCAGAAAGTTGAAAATGAGTATCATTTTCTCATTGAGTAACCGCTATGAAGAACTACGCAAGACAATTGTTTATGGGGCATTTGAGACCCCAAACTACATTTTTTTTCGAAAACATGTTTAGCCCGCCATTTGCTCTGGCAAAAACAGTGCGCAACTTTGTGCAACATGCTTTCAAAATACGTATGGCATCCACTTCTATATAAACCAACAGAAAATAACCTACAATTCAAAGACAGCTTCTTCACGTTTAGTTCAAGCGACTATGACATATATTCAAAATTTTGGTTTATGTTTTGTACATACTCCCTCAATGGATATAAATGTACATTTCATCCACTTTTATGTAATTTTCATCCACTTTTTATATATTTTTCATCCTTTTTTTGTGTAATTTCATCCACTTTTATAATGTATTTATGATACTGACTGTGATGTATAATTTACATGCTGCCCGAAAAGGGCGTTTTATCTATCTATCTATCTATCTATCAGGGATCGAACACGGGATCTCTAGATTAGCGAGCAAACGTCTTACCCACTGAGGCACTGTGGCTCCCCTGGACATAGAGAACATAGTCGTCTGTAAAAAATTAACCTACAGAGCAAGATAGGCGAAAACGCCGCTTTCTGAGCTCCACCCCCAACCCACCATGCACCATATATAGAAATGAAATTGATCATATTATGTTGGTCTCAGATTGACCGGCGTGTGGTGTTGAGGAGATTTTAAATCCCATTCTACTTGTAGAGCAAAGACGGCAAGATTCAATAAAGTTGACATTTTACCCAGGGCTTTGGCTAAACTAAAGATCCGTTTCAAACCAGTGGGAGTTCAACCGCATGTCAATCATTATTTAAGGTCAGATGAGTACAGTAACCTCGTTGTTGTAACTAATTTAACAAAACGGTTTTCCCCAATTACTGTTCGATTCACCACAGGACAGCGAATCATCCTAACTTGGTTATATGGAAAACGAAACTGAAATAAAATAGAGAGACACAGTTCACTGTAAATAATATAATTTATGAAATTACGTATTTAGCTTGGTTATGTGGAAACTGAAATAAAAGAGAAAGTGGGAGGGGTTTAATGTCAACTCAAGCAAAACCAGGTAGGGCTGATGACCCGTGGAAGGGATCCTGAGATCCAGAAGAAAACCCACATTGTTAGACAGGACCAACTTAACGCATGGGCACGCTAGACAGTTGCCCGTAGGCCAGATACTAATCTCTGTGGTGACTGGCTATCAATATATAAATACTATACTGTACCAAACTGTAAATATGTGTTGCAAGTGGGCATCGGCATACACCGCTGATTTAGGTAGGGGGTCCCATACTGCTTTGCCCGATGGGCCTATCATGCTGTTAAGATGGCCCTATGGTTCGGCAAACGGAAAGACCGGGAACACCGACGTTTCAGCCATAGCGGTTAAACAGTTCTTGTGCTAACAGGAGCTTTATGGGTTAATTAGGGTTAAAAACATATCTTCTCCAGACGTATATTCATGAATCAAACCTGCTCTTGTCACGTATCAGCCTGGTGTCGGACCCATAGAACATAACCGTATGTTGCATGATCAGCGCAGGAACTTACTACTGATCATCCCAGTATCATGATCATTACCTGTACGTGCATCGAACAAAGGTTTCTCCAAAAAGAGAAAATATACGGTCGCATATATGATGACTTGCTTGAAAGGACGAGAGAGCCCTCGTCGAAACGTCGGTGAAATAAATCCTTTAAACATACATTATGCAAGAGATAAATCTGCCTATTGCAGGTCTTTCTTTAGGCCTGAAATGTTATATAAACTATTAATTAGACATTTATTAACAAAAACAAGACCATAATCAACTCTCGATGGCATTGGATCATGGGCGTCACACATGGGGGGGGGGGCGACCCCCCAATTTTTTTTTTCGGGGGGGGGGGGGTCTGAATATACTTGGACCCCCCAAAAATTTACATAGTAGGCCCAAACTCCTATTTATTTACAACAATTATTAGAATTAGTTAAGATTCTATCTGTATAAAACCTTAAAACCTGTACATATCCCAATATGGTTTATACTGCTAAAATAAAACACAGAGATAATCTGTACATATCCCAATATGGTTTATACTGCTAAAATAAAACACAGAGATAATCATCCTGGAAACGTGTGAAGTAAAAGGTACCTGTGTTCCATAAAATTGTGTCTAGTTAGCCTGTCAGTAATATTTTGTTAGTTTTTTTCTGCCACTTACCAGAGTGAATCGCATGTAGGTACCCAAAAACATAACCGCCTAAACCAAATATTTATCGCCCGCTCAGCCAGCCACGTAACCATAATGCTTTTGCACGCGGTGTCTTGGTAGACAGCATGGCCACATGGTGTTTGTTTATATTTTTTAGGGGTTTTAAAAAATGGGTTAGGGGTTAGGGTTGCGGACCCCCCCCCCCCCCCATATATATTTCACGGCTACGCCTCTGCGTCGGATACTTTAGATTTTAACTAGATTAGAACGGTTCGCCATTTAAAAATTTAATTTAAAAATGGGAAAGCTAGGCAAAGTCTCGAATATACCAGTGCCCAGGTTACCACTATGCATACATCTTGTCAAAACTACAAACAGTGATAACTTGGTTCAGAATGAAGTAATTTGAATGATATTTTCATTTTACATTATCCATTTTTGAGCTTTAGAGCTATTGAGCTTTATCTAAACGGTTAAATATATCACCGTTACACCCTAATGATGGTTGAGTTCGAATTTCGTAAAAATCGGGCCGAAATTGCCCGAATAATGGCTGCTACTTGCACGCAAATATTGTAAATATATGGTATATCAAGGTTGTGGACCCTCTTGAGTCTAGATGACACAATTTCGATCCGATTTTGATTAAATTTGAAATACATGTTTATAACCCAAAGATCTTGGTTCCTTTCGATATTTGCGCATATTGGATCGTAACTTCCAAAAAAGATCTGAAATCAGAGTTATTTCTATAACATTTTTAAATCTGATCGAACAAAGAGGGCCATGCCCCTCCCTCTCTGACTGCCTTAAAAAGTGTTGACAGGCGCCAAAATTTGCCGAATAAGTAAGCTAGTTGAAATTGGTGCCAAATGTTATATATATTTATTTATATGTATTAGCTAGACATGAGTAGGTTCTATAAATATCAAATCTGACTGGTTTAAGTGGGGCACACCCCTACTCATTGATGTGTGTTGTAGTATGAACAAATAAACAAAAGTTAAAAATTAACTTCCACTTTAAACCCAACAAATATCTAATTGTTTAAACCGTCAGTTATCTCAAGTGTTGTGAATTGGGGTTAAAACAGGCCAATTATTGAGGATGTCACGAGACGATATGAATCACTGATTCGTAATTTATCCATCTTGATCCAGTATAGAGATAATAAACCAGAACATTTCGGGACTAACATATATGGTTCATTTTTTATTTCAATAAATCGATTGCGCGTAGGGGTCTTTAATTGTAGAAGGAAACCGGGCACAGAACTCTACTCCTTGTCACGCACAGGCTATGAGTCGAAACCACGCCAATTGACACAATGACAGATCTTATCTAAAACGCACGCGTTCGACAATTCGACAGTCTACATTAGTCAACATTGCAGGATGCGTAGGTGGGCCATGTTCTCGGAGATCTGAGATGTAGATGTAATTTCATCACTTACCGGAGAGCCGCGGTGGCTCAGTCAGTAAGATTAACCTGGAGTCCCGTGTTCATGCCGGGGTTGGCTGAGAAAGTTCATCGGTGCATGATGGAGGACCTGATAATGGACAATATATATATTGGCATGCACGTAAAAGATCCCCTATCTGTTAGAATTCGATATAAGATTAGACCGTAGGACCGCTGTCAGGGCAAAATGTTCCTCATAGTACTCTGGTGTAATTCGGAACAGAAAAGTAGGATGTTAAACCCCATTTGATTTTAACACTGATCGTTGTTGGTTACTTTTAGTTTTCTGTGGAGAGATGCAATAATATTATGAGGCGTGTGACGACTTGACGTTTATCACCACTTTATTCTATGTTACCTTTAAATACTTTTAAATTAAAAAATAAAAGACAAATGCGTACACCCTTTTTCTTATTCACAAAAATAACAGATGCGTTTTATTATCAAAACTTTATTTTTAAAATTAAAAAATAAAAAACAAAGATGTGCACCTTGTTTTTCAAAAGCAACAACAGAAGGGCTTATTACTGCGTGATATACAAATAAGATTATGTGTTATACATAATAACCACATGCATACCCCATTTCATTTCATTTCATATCATTTCGAAATATACAATAAATGAACTTCAACAAGAAGAAAAATAAAATTTAAAATATTAAGATTTTCCAGAACTCTTATACACACGTATACTTTCTTTCAGATCTATATCGATAAGAACAACACAAATTATGGGAAATTCAAATAAAAGACTTTCGTGACGAATATAGTGTTCAGTTTAGTGTATAGGCAATTTACATAAATACACACAAAAAATAATATGAGCAGAATTTAAGTTTCGTCTTCCACGAACACTGATTGGGGCAAATCAATGTCTAAGTTTTTTTTTAACTCTTCTTCGTTAAACTCCATTTAGCCCACACCAGAATTCGAGGATCTGGCCCTGAACGTATTTTAATTATAATATCATGTGAAAGCTGTCAAATTTGATAATTAATTTTCCTTTCAGGACCGCTTTGGCGTTTGAATGTTCTCAAGTACTCTAAGTCAACTTTCAAGAGTACGGAGGAGTTAATTATTACATGTGACGAATAAAGATAAGCAATCACAAAGAGTCTCAGTTTTACGATGGTTGAGTTTCTTTATGAATTAAAAACCGTCACTGAAAATTCTTGCGCTTTAAGTAATCAACAGTTCTGTTCTGCAGTATTCGCATTTACGGTGGAACCATATCCAGACTGACTGTTAACAAGATGTTCTTGTCCAATTCCGCCGTAAGTAGATTGGGAGGTGCGCCTATGTCGAACAAACGCTAACACAGCAATGATTAATCCAACAAACCCCAAAGTTCCGAGAATTGAAATAACCGATGCTACTCCGGGATTCATAGACGAACTTTCATCCTCACTCTTTGCTGGTGTGTTGCTGATCTCCATTGCTCCAATATCCCTCGCCCATGTCCCATTATTAATGTTAAAGATATAGTCTGTTTCTATTGCAGGAATGATCACAGCCCTGTTTGAAAAGGGTGGTCTTCTGATTGGAGGCAGGCCTTTGGGAGAAAGGGCACCAGAAACAATACAGTAATGGATAGCACATTCTTGATCAATTATACCTAAATGAGCACTGAAACCTTTCGGGCACCCCTTGGGCCATCCACTCGCGCCACGCTTTCTGTAATATTCCTTTAATGTGTTGAGGGGGCTCATTTTCAAGGATGAAGACGAGTCCGATTTTGCCACAGCTAAGGGGTTACCCATATCACAGCTGTAAAACCCACCAAAGGGCACCGAATCTTTGGACGCCATTTCGAAGTCATCGCTAATGCAAACTTTCAAATCGCTGCCCACCATTCTTGGGTAGTAATTCGCAGGACAATCTTTACCTTTTGTGAAAGGGTTAGCAATATGGGAGGAATACATTCCACCAAACAAATATCCAGAATCTTGGGGAACGGAATGATCTGCAGCACACCAATAAGTTGTAACTGTTGCTTTGGATAAATGATATTCTGTATGGCAGCATCGACTCCACCAGCCACAATGGTGACATGGTCGGGTAGTGTAACTTTTCTTAAAAGTTTCTGAGTGTAGCTGCACCGATCGATAATTTGATGGGCACGAATATTGCCCCGTCTTAGGATTGTCTTGACTAAGACCTCCACACAAATCTCCGGCGTTGGATCCTGCTGTCATCTGACATACCTGGTATACTCCACCGAATGTTAGATTGGTCAGTGGAAGTTTGCAGCTTCCGTCCTCAACATTTGCTTGAAAGGCAAAATTAGGGGCATCGGCTGACAAACAACCGCGATAAATGTTGTATTCAAAGTAACGTTCAATTGATTTCTGAACAGTGTCTGCAACTTCTCTTACAATTGATACGGGCACCTCAGGCAAGTTGTCTGGGGTGATAACATAGTAAAGTGGATCGCCTGACCTGTCCATGGCCACAAGATTGTTGTCCAACTTGCCGGCCCAATCCGTGGCTGTATAGTTTGCAAACATGTAAATGGAACCACCATAGGTCGATATATCGGAACTTGTTTTACTTTTGTCATACGAATCTGACATAGTGTTCTTGGAAGAGGACGTATGGGTTATGCCTAGATGAGCTATACCGAAGAAGTTGGCACTGGCAGCAGCTAGTATATCGTGTTTTTTCGATTCATACTTCATGATGAATTCTCTAGTTACAAAATCTTCTTGAACCAGTGCAGCGCCTGCATCAATACTTGTAACAACATGAGTTCCGAAATCCCTGACAAGAAGTTCACTTTGGTATCTGGCATCATCCGTTTGGTTCATTTGAATAAATCTAGCAATTTTTAACAAGGCTGACTTGAAGGACGGATGCAGTGGCGCGAACGGTTGAAGTTTGGCCGTATATTGAATATAACGTAGCTGAACTCTGGTGGTATAAGATTTGTCGTAAACTTGCTTAGTTTTGGTGTTTTGGTAACTATCAGAAAACTTGCCACTGATTCCAAAGCTAAAAATGTTTAATCCTCCATCAACATTGATTGATTTTGAGGTTACACTTGAATAATTCGTCCAATGGGTAATTAGTTCAGCAAACTCGTGAACTTTACTCATCTTTAGTGGAATAAGATATACATCATCCGGAATCAAATATTTTCCATCATCGGTTAGCATACATTTCGAATAATTTGCAAATATGACGACACCGGTTTCTAAATTACGTAAATTATCCCATCCATGAATTGGAAGAACTTCAAAAATGTCCACATTTTTACCAAGTTGAGACAAACAGTTTCTGTAATCGCCTGTTGGAAAACTTGACTCAGGCGACTTTAGTTCCACCGACATCACAGTAGGTACAAATAGAAGGACGAGGAAAAGTCCGATTTCTTTTAAACCGAACGCCATTTTCCAAATACCGATCTACACTGCTTGAAACTTTTGACTTTTCTAACGGAAGAAATGATTTGCCAAACTATATTATACCATTTGAGTGGGTTTTCCCGATTTAGATTTGTCACGAGTTATCAATGAGGAAGTAATCACATTGGCAATGGAGTGTCTGTATATGCTTATTTTATCTGATCTTATACGTATTAATTAACTCCACTTGAAATCATGACTACATAGGGTATGATTCATCATCACGAGGTCTGGTTTTCCCTGGGAAAAAAGGGAAATAATGCAAAGCAAACAAACACTCAACCAGCAGATATAGGGAGCAGGAAAATAACAAGCGTGTACTATGCTGATCAATTTAAAACAAATAAATTCGGTACTGATAAAGAAATAGCGGGTATTGGGTATCGAGAATGGGGGCCCCGCCCAGAATAAAGCACCTTGTATAACTGACCATTTAAGAATAATCTCGCAATATTATTCTTTAGTAGAGAATTTATATGGGGTGGGGTATCATTATTATGGAGTTTACATAGGCATAGTATTTGTATTAGCTTTCTTGCTGGGACCCATGGTGAAGCGCCGGTTACCAAGCAAGGAAATTGCGGGTTCGATCCCGGTGCTGATCGAGAAAGATTCCTAGAAATGTCAACGTTGCTTCCCTTTTGTCAGTGGTGCATGACGGAACGCCTGCAATGGGTTAAATTTAGGTCTAAATATTAGACCCTAATACTTACCCTAATCCACAATCTCGTCCACGTGCTCTAACTCAATGTACGTCTCGCGATCTTGACGAAATCTGGCAATGAATAGTGTCTAGTCGTTTGATGGGACTGAAAACCGAGGTTCCGTGTACACGTTGGAATCTGAAATAAAAATAGGCCCTAGTGCCGCTGTCGAGGCTACATCTCACTTAGTCACACTGCTATGCGTGGGCCATGTCCGTCTTCATTGACACTTTGGAACCAAAGTGTAAGGCGTTAAACCCCATTTCATTTCCCTCTTTCAAGCTTATATTAGATTTCTAATGTTCAATATAAGGATGAGGTTTTATAAGAAATTCGTAAGGTCTTTATTTTAGTTACGTGAATATGTACTGATGCAGTTAGACTACTTTAATTTGTTGAACACTGATCCCATTCTGTGACTATTAACTTTCAACTTTCAACTATTCTATTTGCACATTGCGCCCAATATTCACATTATACAATGATTGCATTACTCAGATTTGCATCTTTTATGTGAACTAACAAACCCGTCTTACGTCACACCTACTAATGTGTAAATACCCATAATAAATATACTTGTTAAGTAGAGCGAGGCCGTCGAGGAGATATTCTTATTGGTCGACAATTTTCAGAAAAAAATACCCGTTTAATACCTGGAAACTTTTTAGACCGATCCTTGTTTCTCTTTCAACATGTCAAATTGCTTTGTTGATTTATTTGTCAAACCCATTAAGTGAGTATATTATGCACAAAATATATAACAACAACTTGGCTTTTATTTAGGCATGTTTTGATTAATATGAAGACATATATCTATAAGATAGGCCTAATTATAATTTTAAAAAAAAGAATTTAGGAGATTAAAATGTAAAAAAGTTTATGCTTGTATTTATTCATTTATTCAACGTATGAACTAGTTTTGGACCATGGGAACCGTCCCCAAACGCTACTCGCCGGCAGTGTTCCCGAGACCTCCTGTACAGTGATCCACTGCCCTACCCACTGAGCCACCGTGTCTCCAATTAAGGATATGTTACGCCTTTGATTTAGACAATTTTGTATCGAGAAATTTCTTTTATCATCATTTTTTGGCTGTGACCTCCTTAAAAAGGACAGATGAATCTTTTTGATTTTGAATGGGGCTTGGCTTGAAATTATATTGTTCAAATGTAGGCTAGCTTACAACCTTTAAACAGGATCTGGTTCATCAACACTGTCATTTGAATGCTATTTTAGCATTTACAGGAAATGTATAATTATGCACTCCACTCCCTTCGGATAGTGCGGAAACCCAGGTCTCATGCATTTTGCCTTGAAAGTTTGAATTCGACGAAAAATAAGTGAAAACGCCGCTGATTAGGGAAACTGCAAGGGCGGATCTAGTGAGCCCCTCCCCCCCCCCCCCCCCCCGGCGCACAAACCCAGTCGGATTATCGTCTCAGATCATTGGAAATGGCTTTCCCGGGCTTCTAGTTTTCAAAATTTTCCTATGGAAAACACCCGTGTGCTTTGTGGCCCCCACCCCACCCCACAATTTATGATGGTCATGGTCTCTGGATCCACCCTTAAACAGTCCTTTATAGCACCATAGTTCGATGATAGCACACTACATGTATGCCCGTCTTCATATGTGTGATGCTAATTTGAATATTCGTGATATATCCTATTTCTAAAACTTTATGAATTTTGACACAATGGTTTGAAATGTTAAAAACTAGATAATGTAAATGAAATTTGATGAAAATTCAGACAAATTGATCCACTCTGAACGGAGAATTTACCGATTGAATTTTCGGCCTAGTCTCGATCATCATTACGATAAAAAAAAAACACAGTCTCGATTATCCAAATGAATAAATCATGAATGAAAGTTGAGCAGCAAATCGGATCCTAATCCATTAAATAACACAGGCTAACGATGACATCGAGAGTTGATTATGGTCTGGATAGGTTAATTAATGTATAATTAATAATTTAGATAACATTCCAGGCCTAAAGAAAGATCTGCAATAGGCAGATTTAGCTCTTGCATAAAGGGAAATACTCAAGTTTAAATGAAGCAAAATGAGGTTTAAATGAAGAAAATGGGTCTGTAGTCGTAGAGAAAAAACCCATTGTTATACAAATGGTGCCCCATCATTATGCTAGATTATTCAAACCTGTGCCTTGTTTCTTCACAGGAAAATATATAATAATACTAAAAGTAAAACAGGTCCATATCGTACGGAACAAATGGATAGGTCGGGTCAACCCCGACACAGGAGTAGAGCGGGGGCTCCTGTCATGCCAACCTCCTCCGAAAAATAGTATCCACAAATAAAAAAAAATTTGAAATAGAGAATGTCGAACCCAGGGAGACAAACTTGACCCAACTGAATCAGGGTCCGAGTTCCTGATACTTGCATCTAATGTACAGAGTGTACCTCTCAAGTGGCATAGTGTAAAATTTGCCAGACATTTCTGTTGGGATTGTTTTCTTGCGTTTTCCATGCCCTCGAGGGTTTTTTTTTTGGTTTTTTTTTTATCAACGTCTATTTTGCCTTGTTCTAGGTTCTTTGATACAGAAATGTTCTTACATATTATAATTAATTCTCTTCCATGGTCTCCTAAACTATTTTGTCGAATTTGAGAACCATATTGGCGTTCCGTTTGATCCTAACACATTTTGCTGTTCAGATATGAATTCGGCAAACACAAAATTTCAAAATTTGACGTATTGCGCCATCACATTATTTCTTGTGGCGTCATCTAGATTCTGAATCTACACATACTGAAGATATATAACCTACCAAAAAAACCTTTACTGGATCCTAGCTGTAGTGTCATGTCAAGGCTCAAACTGGGGTTTGGCTGTAGGACTGACGTAATTTTATGAACAGAGACGAAAGCAACATAAAGCTGGGGTATTTTTACAAAGCTGTTGATATATTGACACAGTCTTTTACAAATCCAGTATTCGTTGTGTGTTCAGTAAATACTACATGATTTATTTTTGGGTGTTGGTGAGTTGTGGTGATAGTATAATAATAATAATGCCGGACTGTCGGAACATTTGGTTGGTGGCGCGCTTCCAATACAATTATTTATTTGAAGGGATTTCCCTCGGTACCTACTCTTCAGACTATTATCTATCTAATAAGATTGGACTCAAATAAACCAACTCAAACGATTGGACTCAATTGGTCCATCTCAGTGGATGAGGCTAAAATAATCAATCACAGTGGATTGAACTCAAATAATCAATCACAGTGGATTGGACTCAAATAATCCATCCAAGTGGGTTGGACTTAAATAATCCATCACAGTGAAATGGAAAATAATTCATTTCAGTGGATTTGACTCAAATAAGTCATCTTAGTGGAGTGGAGGATTAGACTCCAATAAATCTTCTCAGTGGAGTGAAGGAAAATAATTCATTTCAGTGGATTGGACTCAAATAAATCATCTTAGAGGAGTGGAGGATTAGACTCAAATAAATCTTCTCACTGGAGTGAAGGATTAGACTCAAATAATCCATCTTAGTGGAATGGGTTATAATGATTCATCTAGGTAAATTTGCATAAAAAAACTAAATAAAGCATTTCAATAGACTGGATTATACATGTATGTTCAAAGAAAATGCTAAGCACAACATGTATAGGCAAGGGTCTCAACGAAGAGGCAATTTTAGGCAATATGGACTTACCATTTATACCAAATATAGTAATTTTGTTGATTTTTGGTGCTCTTTTATGTATAATTAAATATTATTACTTGGTCCATTAGGGGTGTAGACAAGCAGGGGTATCTCAAATGTTTGTGTCTGGTCATTTGGAACATTATCAGGAATGCATGACACAACCGTCCAGGCAGTCTTTGGCATTGCCAAATCTATAGTATATTTTTGTGACTGTTGTTTGTCGGACCGGGGAGTAATATGGGCTATTTGGCATTGGACTACCGCTTTCGGTTGCAGAGTTACACTACTTTCAACCCATGCAGCACCGGTCATCCAGTAGTCTCTAAAAAAAAAATCAACACTTTCTGCGGTTTTAAAACTTTTATGTCATGATTTAACAACTGATCTTAAATTACTGATGAATATTAACACTGTACATAATACATATAGTAATATAAGTAAAAACAATCATTCTTTAACTAAATACTCTTTAACCTAATCTCATCATTTTTATCCTCACCATGGATACGATATAAGTCAAGTATATCAATAAAAAGAAGAACAAAAAAAACAAAAAAAAACACACAATACAAGTTATATAGAAAAAGGAGACCTTTCTTTGTTGGGCTATCAGGAATGTTTTATTAATCTTTAGTAAGGTCCTCAAATTTAAAAAAAAAACGATGATTTACTGGAATGTCTTGATTGAGAGTAAACATAAAAACACCAGAATAAGAGAAATTTACATAACATTTTGTGACCTATTTCTTGATCAGGAACTTGGTTTCCTAGTTTAATCAAAGTAAACTTTAGATAAATAATACATGCATGGGAGGAACCAGCATCACTCCCTAGAATCAACTAATCTGTCAGGGATTGATCACTAGACACATTACATTGTTTATCCAATTCTATTTGCAATTGTTGTCTAATTTTGAAGTAATTTTTATTTTTGTTTTCTATGTAATTTCCAATTTAAAAACTGCCCAACATACCAAAAATATCACATGTCAAATGTTACTAGAAGATGTCTTTGGAATTCAATATCACTATTTATTATCACATGAAATAAAATCAACAACTTAAATACAAATTCATCACTGAAGAAGTAAATTAAAGATAGCAAAAATCACAGATTCATCAGATCGATATATTATTATCATTTAGAATAAATAGTCTAAAGATATGTACAAAAACTCTTCTTAATATTTAAATATTATTACTTACTATATCTAATCCTATACACAAACACATCAATTATATATATTAATATACACAGCTGGGATAAATAGGGATGAGTATTAGTTCAATAATGTGACACATTTACAATCAATTAAGCCATTTTTAAAGCTGATGATAAACTTATTCCTAGAGTGCGTATATTTTTTCTCTTTTAACAGATGCAATGTAACAGGTAACTTAAACTAAGCAGGATGTGAACATTGAGATTTGGGGAAAATCTGGTAGTTGTACAAGTACTGGTACGGTAAATGCGGATGTGCCAAAAGGGTCAGCATTAGGGGCATCAATGAGTTCATTTATTATGGGCAGAATTACATGAACAATAGATAGAACAGTGATCTTGAAATAAATTGACATTAATGGTTAAGAATTTCGAAAGGGTGACATTGTTCACTTTTTGACATGTCGTGAGGGCATGGTGGGAATGGGACAGTCATGGCAGGGATGGGGAATTAGGAGGTGCCAAGGAGGAAATAACAGGATCCACATTGGTGTTAAATAACCTCATTAAGACATGACAGTGATTTCAACAGTGGGCTATAGTCATTCAATAATATGATTTTAAACAAATGACAAACAAAATACCTGAGTAAAACAATGCCATAAAACTGAAAACAATTCAAATTTATTAGATTTAAAATTTATATGTTATTTTAATCATAACGCCAAATATTTAATAACCACAGGCTGCATTAATAATCAAAGTCTCTGCGGTGTTAGAAAGTGGTTAATTCAACACAAATTTTAAACTACAATAATTCCATATCTTGTCAGTAAGGAAAATTTATACATTTAATATGCAAAAATAAATAATCAATGTGTCTTGTTAAAATTCAGTTCTAGATCTAAATATTCATTTTAACATAATGTTTGTTATTCATTTTGTTGAAGATGTACAACAGCATTTTATAAACATAATATGCAAATTTAATATTATTTTTATAACACCTATTTGTTGTTGAATATTTTCTTATGAACACAATTATAGACACAATACATAGACACAATATTAGATGCCATTTGTTTCAGTAATATCAGATTACATTTCTAATAAAATCAGGCCTGGAAATAACGGTTTTAGATGTACTTGACAAAATGTCAGGCATTAATGAAATAGTACCCAACATTTTCAACTTAGTGCCGGACATGTATTGATAATATCAATAAAAGAGACAAATCAGTGCCGGACAAAATGACATGCGCCAGAGGTTTTGTGCCTGACAAAGGCTGAATCTGTGCCTGACATTGTCTGTGACAGGTGCCTTATTTCCAGGCTTGAAAAATCATTTGGAAATGTACAACTGTAATAAAAGTACCAGGAATCCTTTTTGCTGTTTAGAAAGAGTTGTCTCCCCTCATCCATATTTCCATACATACTCCATGGAATTTAGACAAAATATTATTTATTTTGAATGCCCAAAAAACTATGTACTTAAGTGTATTGGATTTGACGTTTTTGAAAATGAATGTTGTGCAAACAAAAAAGTCTTTAAAGAAGTAATATGTGTATTTTTTCAGAGAAATGGTTGTATGTGATCATGAATAGGGTATAATTAACAAATTTTCTAATGTTGTCAATCATATAATTATGCAGTGTAGTGGTAATGCGTGATTTAATGAATACATAGAAGGTTTTTCTCAATTGGCTTTCTAAAATTACATCCTTTTAATCACTGCAATACATCATTGCCTACAACAAGCTTTCCATTTACATAATGTAAGTACAGCAACTGAATTCAGATTCTTGCCCATATCGGCCAAGATTGACATCTTTTCTAGTGTCTAATTAATAATATGTACATGAAACTTTATCTAATCTCATCCTTATTGCTAATAACTCAATTAACATATTCAACAGTAGTGGTTTTATACTAAGTTTATATTTGATCATTTGAAACCACATGCTAAGAAAGCATTAACCAACAATACTGATATAGTACCTTGCTTACCACATTGCATAAGAAGACTAAGGCTAAAACTGAAAGAAGGGAATGGAAAGAAAAAAAAATTAAAAAACATGATTGAACAAAATGATCAACTCAAGAAATATGATCAAAATGGTTTCAAAGTCAAACATCTAGAATAGAATGATTTTTAGGTATTTTTTAAGTTATATAAAACAAAAATTTATAATTAAATTATACCACATAATTATTTATGTCGAATTTGATTAAGTTATAAATTTCAGTTTGTTAACAGCTTTCTAAATTGGCTCATATTATATTAGCACAACATTAAACATTCATGCAAGATGACAAAATTAATACATTCATGCAAGAACACAAAATTAATTAACTGATTAGAAACATAAATATATCACAAGAGAATTAGGTTTTCAACTGGCCTACAAGTTATTTTGTTTTTCTATATCACAACAATTAATCATGCCCCAACTAAGCTCAATACAACATGTAAGTATAATAAAAATGAACCATGCTACACTGTATATATTTGAAATACACATTGTTTGCAATATTCGACTTTTATATTCGAAATACACACTGTTTTTAATAGGCTTCTTGTCTATTTGAAATACACACGTTTTTAATATGCTACTTGTCTATTTGAAATAAATGCTATTTTTAATATGCTACTTGTCTATTTGAAATACACACTGTTTTTAATATGCTACTTGTCTAATTGAAATACACACTGTTTTTAATATGCTACTTGTCTAATTGAAATGCACATTGTATGTCAATCACAATATACTACTTTGTATATCTGAAATATTGAAATCTATACTAATATTTGTGACTGTCGTTTGTCGGTCTGTTTGTCTGTTCAGGGTTGGCGGCTACACTTAGGACTGTCCCGAGGCTGGAATTCGGTGTATACTACTTTCAACCTGTGCAGGGCCGTGTCATTCGCTAGTATACATTATTTGAAGTATATATGCTCCAGTGTCTTCATGCATAATATTTAACTGTCCATCCCACTCTCCAGCATATTTATTATATACAGCAATCAGACCAATCAAACTGCCAAATAACTGACCTAACTGTTTTACCCCCTTCAAATATACTGTTAAATTATGTTATTCTCAATTCTTTCTGAAAAACTGGATAAACCACCAAATGGAAAATGTGCTAACATTTTGTTAAAAGCAAAAAAAAAAAAAAAAAAAAAATTCCTAATGATACTCAAAATGTATTTACATATACAATCTGATGCATAATGCTTTACCCCAGCTAATTAGAACAATTTCACAGCAAGTATAGTGATATAGTTGACAAGACAAAACATCTACATAAAGGGGATCAACCACTGTCTTTTTAATTAATTTATAACAATGATTGACAGGGACTTTTTAATAAAGACTCCCTATTAAAAGTCTCAGGTGGTTGAACCCCATGTTATAATACTCTACTAGTTGATATATGAAATCTGTTTTTATAATATTCATTATTGCTATGATTCACTTGCGATGGTGAAAAAATCAACAAAACAAAAACAGGGTTACCTAAACAGGTGAGCCAACTGTGCAGAAATTTAGACTGTTGTAATTTTTCTCAAAATGTTACTTTTCAATTCTTTGTGAAATGAAATGAAATGGGGTTTAACGTCCTACTGTTCTGCTCCGAACTGGGCTAATGAAGATGGTCAATTCTTTGTAATTTTTCATCGCAAGATACAAATGTTAAAGAGATTTAATAGCATCAACAAATATCCTTAATAAAAAAAAGTCTTGAAATGAAATAAACCCGTCAGAACCTAGAATCACAAGTCTACTTTTGCTTTCATCCAATTATTCAATAACAAATATTAATTGAAAGCAGCAAAAAATATATTCATGGAGTCTTGAATTGTTTCTCTGGTCATCGATAATGCTCTGATCGTGTCATCATAAAATCTGTGACATTTTCATCTTTAATCTTTCATTGGTTTGTTTAAATCAAAAATAATAGTTCCTTTTGACCATCACTTAGCGATAATGACAATTTTATGACTTTCTGTCTGTCTCTAACTCATTATTAACAAGTGAATAATTTTTGTTTAGGATCAAGTAATGTCTTCTTTGAATCGAGTAGACATGATATCATTATTGTTTTCCCACTAGACGAATTAACCTGTTGTGTGGAAATCTAGACTATGCATCGCGGGAACAAGCTTAATGTTCAATAATTATTTTGATTTAATCCTATTATATTCCAGAAGAAATTGAGTAAAATATTATAAATGAACATTTCAATATTATCATATACATGAATAACTGAATAACTATGGTACATTTTTGAAAGTTCAATTTAAGATGGAATCTTGGAAAGGTATTTTTTGTATAACTGATTGCAAAATAACCCCTTTTTACTAAGGCTTGATTCTAAATCCTATTGTCACTGTATGTCCTGACAATCTTGGCTAAGCGTGCACATAAAGTGATGTTATTACTACAGGTACACGAGATTACATGACAAGTACACACAACATCACAAGCAGGTATGTGTGATGGGAGGATCAACTTACATGATAAATTAGTTACTGGAGTACACACTTTGACGTAACATCGCTTACACCTTGAGCCAATTTAGAAGGCATTTCACTCACTTTAGATGTCAACTCGCTTAAATTTGAGGGAAATTCTGGAAAACAGAAGGAAACAACAAACAATGCCAGGGGAAATGACGGCCATCAAAAAGCAGATACATGATACACATATCCAAGAAAAAAGCATTCCAATAGCAAAAAAAAAAAAAGCATTCCGAAAGGGTAAGGAAAGATTGAAAGCAATCAAAAGGCTGCCTTAAAATTAAGTTAAAGTTTGATTAGACTAAATGATAATTATTTTGTGTTAACCTTTTTTGTGATTCTTGATTCATGTCCTATCATTAAAAAACATGCACAAATGATTCTGAATTTTAAAAAAATTAAATAAATAATATTGTAAAAGAGAACAAGTAAAATTGGACTATTTTTAAATGATATCATCAACAAATAATTATTTTTGTTAACCATTTTAATTCATATCACTGAAAAACATGCACAAATGCTTCTGGATTTTTTAATTTAACAATATAGACTATGAAATAACTTGTAAATACTATTATACAAATTGTATTCACAATAATTCTAGATTTTAACAATAAGAATTATCTTTCCATGACAAACAACAAAAGTGTAAAACATAAATATATTGTGTATATTTAATCCATTCATTGTTTATTTTTAATATATTTTTATAAAATCATTTGTGACCACTTTTTCACCTATCAGGTTGAATTAATTTCCAATCACATTTTTACTTTTTTGTCTTTAATAGAATGATTGAATTAAATTTACACAAAAATATAAATCCTTGTTTTTCACTTATAGTTAATGTCTATTTACAAAATAAACAATCATTAACAGTAGACCTTTAAAGGTTAGGATTTTTGATCTAATTTTTGAGACAGTATGAACAAATCTAATATGTAAATCTAATATATTATGCAAACTTCATAAATAAACAACACTAAAAAATAAGAATATTAAAAAAAAAAAGAATAATTAACTATATGAAATGAAATGGGGTTTAACGTCCTACTTTTCTGCTCCTACTGGGCTAATGAAGACGAGCATATGCCATACAGTGTGCTATGAGGGAAATTTTTCCCGGGCAGCTGCACTATGGCCTACTCTTATATCAAATTCTAAGTGCCAAGGGATCTTTTTTAGGTACACGCCAATGTATACACAGGACCTCGGTTTTCCGTCTCATCCGAATGACTTGACAGCTGTCCTTGTCAGGCATTCCGTTCTGCACCACCAACAAGGGGAAACCATGTAATTAACTAAAACAATGGAATATATTTGATACATGTTATTATATCATCCCCTGCTAATTAACTTTTTTTTATTATTTACCCTTAATAAATGGAGAATCTCAAACTTTTCATATATTAAATGTAATAACTCAAGTCAAAACAGTAAAAAGATCAAAGGCACTGCTGAACATTTTTTATAATATTGACAAGTGTTAATACATTTAATACTGTATCCAAAAGGATTAGTATGTTAATTTATCACCAAACAGAAGGAAACAAGACAAAGTGACTAATCCAAAAAGACAAATTGAAATGATATCTGCATGAAGATTTTGTTTATTTTAGTACATATATATATATATATATATATATATCGCCTTTGAAATTCATTATTGAGTGATAAATCCATCATCATGAAAGCTGTGTCCTTGATTGGAAATTACCACATCAATGACAAGGAGGAAAAACATGAGCCACAAAGTTTGATCGTGCGAAGTTTTAAACTACATAAACCCCCTGCAGTATGGGATGAGAATCCGTCTGGAGTAAGTTCAGCTTCATTTATAGGATCTTAACCAAATATTTTGATGGCATGAGCTAAGGGTGAATTTCTGCACAAGGTACTAGCTAAAACTAGCCTGACGGGCAAAAAGAACTTCACTGGGTAAATACATTACTGTGTAGGATTTAATTTATAGAATTTTTTGAATTTTGGCCTCCATGGACAACACTGTAAGAAAACATAGTGATCTTTTAATTTTGAAAATATGAAATACTACATTAAACATATATTGCCACATTGTCTGCTTTAATGTGAGGGATAAATAACATAAACATATAAATAAATAATATTAAGGACAATAAACTGTAAAATAAATATAATAACAAAAAAGAGAAGTAACAATAACAAGCAAATAAAAATTGGCCAAACTAACAATAGTATATATGATTATATATAATGGTAAATTTTTGCTTTTAATGATGGTCGATGATAATTCTACACATAATATTAATACAATGCCCAGAAAGTTTAACAAAATAGTTATCATCTGTTTTATTAAACATTACATTTGACATCCTTCTGAAATGGATTGTATTTCATCATGTCCAGGATTTTTATGATTCAGCTCAAAATATGCTGTGTAAGTTAACCAATGGGTCAGATCTATTTTCAGTCTATTGCCATGACTCCATGAGCGAGCCATTGGGATGTAAGTAATGACAGGTTTCATTCATGAGGCGGGGTATGTTTAATCTTCTAGAACATCTGATACTGCTCCTCTGTGCAATTGAGGTTTTTTAACAGTTGGTTAATGTTTCCCGATTACTGGAGTTTTTTTTGAGAATTTTCCTCTGATTACTGTTTTTTGGAGAATTCCCCCCACTCCCAATATTTACTATGCATGAGGCCTAAATGATGTTGGTTTTGTTTATGGCATTGATGATAAAATGATCAAATAAAATCAATGATACAAAAAATTAAGACAAATTATTACTTTGTACAAATCAGAAAATAATTTCTGTTAATATTATATTTAATTTAATTCAAAGCACTTAAAAGATGAGCAAAGAGAAAAATTGCACGTGTTGGCAAAAATGCTGAAATTTTTATTTACTAATACTATCAAATATATGCATGTACTATCTAGCATTAAGAATAATATAGCTACCTATGTCAGATATTTCTAATAAATGCCCTAAAATCTGATCAATTTTGTTTAATATGCATACAATAAAATAGATTTAAAACTAGAGGAATATTTGATGTCAGATTAGATAAGAAATAAAATCTACCTATTATAAATACACAGATATCTAATGTCTAGAGAATATTTACAAAAGTTCAATATTTATCTATTTGAACATCCTAACCTCCAGAATACTACATTTTGTTATGTTGGTTTCCAGGCGGTTTTACTGAATGGCTTCATTTAACCAATAGGAAACCATTTAATTACAAAAGAAAATTAAAAGTAAGGAATAGAGCCTCTGAGAGGAAATTAAGTCCAAGAAACTCCATTTGAAATTAATGTTGATGGCCTTCCACTGTGTTTGTAATGTCTTGCTAGGCTAGCAAAATATGAAGATCTGATTCTGAACTGAGATGGAATCGATCAATCATTACAAACAGAAATGAGAGATGAAAAGATTTCCGACCACCAACAATCGTTATCACTATTCTCCACACAAAAATGATTTGAAACAAATCCACAATTCTTGTCTTGACTGGAACAACTCACAAGCACATGAACAGTGATATCTCTTTAGTTCTGGTATATATACACACGTACATAATCCAATTTTAATAAATCGAGTGTCACTTAGTTTTATCACTCACTTATTTAATATAATTAACTAGTTAAGAGGTAATCTAATACTAAACCTTGTTGTCGATCAAACAAAATTCATACAACAACAAAGAGAAGAAAATTTACTTGCAAACTCATCCTCATCTTCCTCCTCAGCATTTTGTTCTGCTGCGAGTTCAGCAGGTGTCTTCTTCTTTCGACCAACTCGACCAGGGTCAGCTAAAGGTTCTTCTTCTTCTTTTACTTTCTTCTTCAAACCATACTGAAATTGAAGCAAATTGCACTTAAAAAACTACTATTTTAATAAATGTTTCTTTAACAACTGGACTAAGGCATTTTGCAATGAGAGACATTTTGCCCAGACAGTGGCAATATAGCCTACTCTTATTTCGATCTTGAACTGTCAGGGGATCTTCTTTAAATTTCAATGAATTCTGTTTGGAAGATTAGTAATCCAAGCTGAGACTGGTTCTAGTGTACCACAAATACTAGCAACATTGTGAATGCAAACATATAATTTTCTTGAACACCACATGACTTAAAATTATATTACTATTCAAAGTAATGACACTTCCCCCTCCCCCTCCCAAAAAGGCCTTTTGGTTCCATTTTGTCTTGTGGTTAAAATTGTTTATTGTCAGGATTTCAATCTTGTTTAATAATTGGTAAGATAAACAAGTCAATAATATAGATTAAAGTTCAGTCCTTCAATAGTTTTGAAGCTGTTGATTTATTTCATGAATGAAAATAGACGTTCTTGGCAGAAAGTAATTTAAAAAGTTCAATTCTCGCAGAAGATCAATAGATCTCGTACTTATTAACATTGATTGGTTTCTCGGAAAACTCAGTAGGGATCTAACACCTTGTCTTTATGTTAGATTATTTATTGAATTTGAAAACATCAGGGGGTAAATTATTTTTACAGACCAAATTAACAGGGTTTACAAGATTTTCAAATAAATCTAACTCTTTGGATCATAGTGCTTTGTCTCTTGCTCTACAATTTCAAGATGCGAAGACAAAACAAATTAATGATTATTTTGTCTCAAATATTTCAAGCAGAAGGGTTACATATTAAAAGGAACAAAAATACTCCCACTAAAGAGTATTTTATTCTATTCGGATGCTTTTGTGGCGTAGAATAGATGTTTGGGTGCAAAAAAATTTGATGAAAACTCTGGTCTCTATGTTACTGCCAAGCACTGTGTGGACAGTTTCGGCAAAAAAAATGCCATATTAATCCGATTTTGCCAAATAGATATTATAATATACAATTTGCTGAAAGTTTCAGAAAATTGTGATCAAAATTGTGGCCTCTATTGCACTGAAAAGAATTTTTTAAAAGTAACTGGCAAGAAAGGTGATCAATGCTAAATATATTTATCTGATTTTGCCGAAAAGAAAAAGGTTTTCTGAAAGTTTAATAAAAATCTGATAAAAACTAGACCATCTACTCAACTATTGTACTGACTGACAAGAAATGTAGAGGACAGATGGACGAACGAACATGGTGATAGCAATACACATCTACATGAACATCTGGGTGTATAAAAATAAATCCTCTGGTCATTTAACTTCTAAAATATATAACTATAAAATATATAAACACGTTTTTATATTTTAATTTTCAAGATAAAGTTCATTCAAATCCAAATTTTAAAAAAAAAACCACCCCAAAAAACCCAAAAACACTTTGAAATGTAATCACTTCTCTTGTATATTTATTTCAATGGAATTAAACATTGCTACATGTGAAGCAGCTGGACAGTTAATAACTGTAATTCCAATTTATCTTATTAAGTCTGTTTATAATCAGCCTCTTCAAGATTATCCTCTTGATTATAATAAACCATTTATTTACCAGCTACTTAAAAGCAAAGTATTAATCCAGATTTTCTGGAGAATGAGGAATTGTTTGAGTTTCACGGCTCAGGGGAAAATTAACACAGTTTATCTGGAAACTTTTCAGCTCAGAAAAAAAATCCACCTAAAAACGTTTATCACCACAGTACTTGCCAGATTTTATGATTATTTTTTTTTAAATACACAGCATAAGGAAACTTATTTTCAAGTTGACTATACGATTATCCTGTTTACTGTCATTAAGAAAGTACATGTCCATATCTCTTCAATGTGACAGCTATAAAAAAATTGATAAAATAAGATGTAGTGGCATTTAAAGTGCACTAAAAATTTTTTACACTTTATATTTTCTATTCTAAAATATGGCAAAATTAGATAATAAAGAAACAAAATCAAACCATTTACCATTGCTACCCCCCCCCCCCCCCCACCAATTTATTTATTCCTTTTTTAAAATTTTTAATTGAAGAGCATGCATGAAAAGCTTCTATTTCCACAAATATACTTGTATGAATTTGTAGATAAATTATTCAGTGGCTATAGTTTCCAATATTTGCAATTTTTAAACCACAATTTCCCTTATGTATCCTGAAATTTTGGAAATATCAAAAATCCTAACAGTTAATTTTTAGATAAACATTGCGAGTAAAGTTCATTTTGAATATCAGAAAAATTCCTTCCAGTTAAAAGCATCTATTTCTTTCAAATGTGCAGAATGACTAATCTAGGCATAAATAATGAACCTTACCAAAACACGGCAACTCTGTTCATTAGGTTTAAATTAAAAGTAATTTACTAATAATCTTGAACACAGCCAAAAACATTTAAAACATATTCTGAGTATTGCTCTGGGGGTTTTTTTTTGGGGGGGGGGGGGTGTCAATCAGTTTCTATTTTAGCATAATTTTGTTTCAAGAACCTAGAATTTACATTCATCATGTCATAAAGCAATGATGTGTGTTATTGGTTCTTTTTAATCAAATAAACTTCCAATTGAAACTACTGGTGTTTGAGATAGAAAGCAACACAACTCAATAAGAGAACAAATCTTGTTAAGCTAAAACAGAACTAAAGAAAGAATCTATACACATTGATATTATTGTTATCAAATTTCCAGATAATTTAGCACATTGATTGAAAATGGTTCTATATTAATTGTGATTATGCGACCATAAACTTAACAACATGTCTACATTCTGCTTGAGGAAACATCAACACTTTTTTATCTTAGAGAGAGAGAATAGAGTTTTATGTCTACTCAACAAAAAAACTAGGTCATTTTGGGACTAACATTATACATGTCTATTTCAATAATTGCTTGCGCTAAGGGGTCTTTAGCATTTGGAGGAAATAAGAGAAAACCCACAAGGTTAGCTTGGGATTGAAACCGCATCACTTAGACTCAATGACACACCTTAGGATCTGAAACACTCATTATTATAGTTTATTGGGTGATTGGAAAAGTTTACCAGGTAAATTTAGAATCTAAAAAACCTCTGTCATCCAAAATTATAGATGTTTTCACTATAAGATTTTTAGCCAGAAAAATCAAGCATTGTTAATTGATTGAAATGTATCATTTGGTATTAAAAGTATCCTGATGCAAAGTGAAAGCCCGGGCAGCTGGTTTATAGTTTTTAATTCAACAATTTATTGGTACTCTACAAATGTACAATATTATTAAAATTTATTAGTATTATACCAACTAATTTTTTAAAAAAAACATTACTCGGCATACCTCTGGACCACTCTATGCCCTGGGCCCTTGGACAAGTGTCCTAACTGTCCTTTCGTCTCATGGGCCCTGGGTATCTTGGAGCACAGAGAGGTAAATAGCTTTTTTGCTTTAGCTTGCAATTGGTATGTATATTGGTGTACAGAGGTAAAAGGTTTTGTGCTTTTACTTTCCAGTTCCTCAGTCACATTCAAAGCCAATTAATTTCCTGTTATTGGATTGCTTTCTGTGAATCTTGCATTTCAAAAATACATGACCTTAGTTCTAGGACAATAATTCACATCTTAACCAAGAATAATGTTGGAAAATAAATCAGACAGAATAATGTCTCTTAACCCTGCCTATGGTTTTAAGAGAATAAACATAGCAACATGTAACAATGCCGTAATGGTAGTCTAGTCTGTCACTGGTGGTTAGCGTTAAAGATTAATGGATTGAAAACAGGACATGTACATCAAATTAGAACATATTCATCCCCAATTCCCTTCCATGATACAAATCAATATTGTGGCTACGCTCTGTCTCAATTACAAGGAGAATCTCTTGGTTTTCTATTAAGAGTTGATGATAGAAAGTGTTTAGCGAGTTTTCTATTCACATATAGGTAATTGAACTATTCATAAAAAATATAACCCTACTTTAACTTAGTCTAAACCTTGTTATTTCTATACAAGTTCGCATAACATACAATTTCTGTTGCCCTCTTTTTATTTTTGCACTGAAATATCCTATCAAGATATATTGAGAAACATTCTGTCAATTGCATTCAACCATATTTTTTTTCTAAGAGGCTTAAGGTTTTTATTCACCTTAAATTGTAATACTAGAAAAACATCCTTATTCGTCAACTCATTTGCAATTCTATATTTTAAAGTTTTGTTTAGATATAATTGGAACTGTAACCAAGGCTCCATAAAATAAATTAATTTCCCAAACAATATTTCCCATAGGAAATTTAAACTCTTCCCATAAATTCCTATGCAAGCATGCAAATAATGTAATTATATTTTTATAAACCAATATCTTTATATATTCTGACAGCATATTTTTTTTACTCTCCCACTCCATTCCATTTAGTAATTGAATTTACTCGACACGAAAATGGAATCTGGTGATTTTTACTGATTTGACTTCAAGTAGATTCAAGCAATATTCTGTTCATTCCTAAACGTAATTCACCAGAGTACATACATACTTACAAGAGTGATGTAAGAATGTTCAGCAAGATAATAAGTTAATAAGATTTCTCAAGAGAATCATTCAAATGCTCTTAAGTTAAAGCATCTGGTGACAATAAACAAATTCGCCTTATCAGAATTATAGGATTTGTGTGTGGATAAAGAGAAAGCGCACAATAATTCTGGGTTAATACAAGAATCATGAAAGACATGATATTTTATTATATAATGACATTTGCTGTAATTTAATAATTCATTTTTATTTCATTTTCTTTTATAGCAATTTTAGTAAAAAGAAAAAAAAAAAACACTTTATGTAAGAAAATTGATTCCACAGATTCGAGATCTGGCCAATATGAGGAAAATATTAACTTTCTTAGTGGAATGTATGTCAAAATTACCAAAGCTGTTTAAGTAATATCAGTAAGCATACACTGCCATCATAAGAATGCAATCAATGAAGCATAATATCTCAATGATAGACTATTTCAGATATTGTTATTAAATACCAGAAAAAATCCTGTAGACTAGTCAATGACAGCTGCAAGAATTCATTTAGGTTCTTGGCAAAGGTTTGGTCATCATGACAACTCTGCCACCTGAGTCGGTTTTACATCCCAAACTTCCTTAAAACCACAAAACTATTGATGCACCTCAAAACAATCAACTCAGAAACGGTACTTTCTAAATGAAAATATTACTTTTAGATTTAAATACGAACTCTGTTTTATGAGCAGATTTGATACTAAGGTTCCAATCTAACCACACAAACTATAAAAAAAACCCTTTATAATCCAAATGCATGAGAATTACTTTTACCCCGACATACCTTATCTCTAATACTTTGTCTCATTTCTTCTCTTTCTTCTTCCATTTTTCTGTGTTTTTCTTTTCTTTTTTCTTCTGCTTCTAATCTAGCCGCAGTGATTTCTGGATCTTCTCCCTCCTCTCCCTCTGGTTTCTCTTCATCTTCCTTATCTCCCATAGCACCTACAGAAAATATAATTCAGTTTCCTTGGGTCTAATTCACATACTTTGCACGGTTTACAGACAATTTCTCAGCTTCAAGTTTGAAATCTTATAACTCTTGCCACTTTGAATTAAATATCTGCATGCATGATACAAAGTGTTTTTAATAGTTAATAATATGAATGGGAGTCCATATGATGTCACAAAAATTGAAATCCATCAATCGATTCACAACTATCAAAGGAACAAGCATGCCAAGTTTCAAGTTGATTATCATACTTAAAAAGGCAAAGCGTTAGGCTTTTTTCTAAGAGGGTCTCCCTCAAGAAAAACAGGAGCATTATTTGGACCCCATTCCTAGTCAAAAAATCTACAAGAATAAACTATCATGATAAACTCTTGATTTAAATGTACAAGGAAATGTTTAATCCGTGGGAAGTGCCATCAGTTATAATCTGTACAGTAATGAGCTTACCTTTTACAGACTTGAGCTGGTCTCCTACCATCTGTTTAGCTATGAAACTAGCCATTTTCTCTAGATGGCAGAATTATAAATTTAAATACAGACTTTCACTTCTGAAATATACAAGAAAACATTTAAATTAAGTTTTATAGCACATCAACACCTTTTGGAATCTAACCAGATCTAAACAACCTTTAAGCTACTATCATTTTTATGTAAGCGAAGCTTATGAAGGATTCCAATTTTAATAATAATAGCAACATCAAACATCATCTGAAAAATTATGTCTTTTGTTTTCATATCTTTTATCTATACTAATATTTGTGACTGTTATTTGTCTGTCTGTTCGGGGTTGGCGGCTACACTAGGTCTGCCCCGAGTCTGAAATTTGGGGTATAGGGGTAGCTCGGACCGGGGAGTAACATAGGCCAGGTGGCGTTATACTACCACTTCCGGTTTCGGAGTTGTGACCCCCGAGCGAAGCCGGGTATCCTGCTAGTGTACCATAATTATGTTTGATAATATACATGAAAAATGAATGACTAACACAAGAATGATGGTGATGGTTACATGTTGTTTATATTTAACAAATATGAAATGAAATGAAATGGGGTTTAATGTTCTACATTTCTGCAATGACTGGGTTAATGAAGACGGGCATACACCATGCAGGGTGCTATAAGGGAAATTTTGCCCAGAATGCGGCCTACTCTTATATCGAATTCCAACTGTCAAGGATCCATTATATGCACGTCAATGTTTACACAGGACAATTTTTGTTCAATCTGAACAACTAGACAGCTGTCCTGCAGCACCACTAACAAGGAGAAACCGCCCAGAAAATTCAGAGGAACTTTCTTAACCAACACAGAAGAGAACTCGAGACCTCCAGGCTAGCAAATCAGCATCTTACTCTCTGAGCCACCATGGCTTCTGGTATAGATATACAAGTTAAATAAAAGCATAGTCTTTATATATTGATCCTATCTTCTAGAATCAGTTTACCTGAGCTGTTAAACAAATTAATATTTTACATATTTATATCATGATTTTAGTAGAAGTAAAATGATATTACCGGTAATAACTATTAAACTATTATCGATTCTCACACTTATCACTTACATGTTATGATCGTTCAACGCTTATATAATTATTACATTTGGGAATACAGAACAGTTTGTCATACTTTATGTAATTTGCACTTAGACAATTAGCATGTTATTACAGTTGGCTTAAACAGGTTATAAAATAAGCTTATTTATATACTTAAAAGAGATAATTAGGCTGTCTATATTCATGGTCATAAAAAAAATATCAAGACTTGAAGAGACTGTTGAGTAATAACCCAATCATCTTGTAAAGACAGCATTTCATTAAGTCATCGGATACATTTTAGTTGTTGTGACTCAGTGAGTTTGACACTGGCTCCAGCCTAGGTCTTGGTGATGCAGGCAAGGTGATGCTGGAGCATACAACACATGGATGATCCCCTTAAGATGACTACAGTGAGAAATTGAAATAATAGTGGGCCCAAATCCAAACTCTCCCTTATAGTTCACTGCACAATGTAATCCAGTCTTCATTAGCCAGATTTGTGCAGAAAGATGTATATAACCAATGTTAACAAATAAAACATTGACCCAAAGCACCATAACTAATCTAAATATCCAAGACAGAGACATTATCTTAACTCACCAACACAACATCCTAGACCTCGCAGATGAGCCCAATGGCTAGTTGTTATAACAACTCATCAAAGTATTTCTATGGTTTAATAATATAACATACAATCTCTCATCTTTCTTTAGAAAATAAAATATTTATATTTCTATGTATGTGTAGTCAAGTATTACAATCTTTAACCAGTATATCATCAATATACCTGCGATATCACTGTACATGTCACACAGGTATATATATAAAATATATATATATTAAAGCAGATAAAGTACAAGTACTTCTTTGTTTACACATATATATATACAATTAAAGCAAGGTTTCTAAAGTGAATGTAAACTCAAAGTGTTTCATTGTGACATCAAAACAAAGCATTTGTAGATTTTGGGAAAGGAAAGATCAATCATGCACTGAAATTTGAGAAACTGTATAAAATCATGGAACTGTGTCTGTTTTTTTTTTCGTAAAACCATCATTTTATTAAATACCCTAATGGGTCAAGTATTTGATACCACTATTCAGCACCTCAGCTCCTGGATCTATTCTTGATCAGGTATCTTTAATACAAATTGTACTCAGATCAGCTGATTGAACCTAACTATTGAAGTTATAACAGGTACCCCCCACACCTCAACCAAACCGTGATGGCCATGATATTGAATGGATTAGAACACATGTGTCTTTTAACGATTTAACACTAAAATGGATAATTAAGACTTTGTTTATTATTGTAGCAATATCAATGGTACCTGACAATTAAGACAATTCTGTCAAAACTTCAAACACCCTTGGGAATAAAGTAATTTGAGCTAACCTTTCTATATATTCATTTTTTAGTATCTTTTTTTTAAACTATTATATCAAGAATGACAAGGGGCCGGTTGCTCAAAATACAGTTATTTTAATGATTCATTAAACTCTAATGGATCGTTATCTTGCTAACGTGTCGTTTGTTAACAGTCCATTTAATTTCTGTTGCTGGAAAGTCAATTTCATTATCTGTTAGCTAATGGACTGATTAAAGTTAATCCAAGACAAGACTATTTGGTCATTGGCTGATTTTTAAATTTATAAATTCAATGTTAATGTATAACACAGAGAGACAGCTACAGAGAAAGATATGGGGTTTATTGTCCACTAGACAAAAACTAGGTCATTTCGGGACTAACACATGGTTCAATTTTATTTCAATAATAGCCTCCGCATAGGGGTCTTTAGCAGTGGGAGGAAACCAGAGGACCCAGAGAAAACCCATGAGGTTGGACAGGCGACCCTACTCCTTGTCAAGTACAACTGTGGAATCGAAACCACACCAGTTGACTCAATGACAGACCTTATCATACAGCGTGCACGTGCTAACAATTCGGACATCCAACCCCCGTAATGTGTAACAACTTCATGGAAGTTGGTATTGACAAGAAATGGAAGAAGAAGGGACAACTGTGCAGTCTGTTCACAAAACTTGACAAAGAGATAACTGTAGAATTTACTACAGAAAACACTATAAAAAAAAAAAACCTATAGAGTACTATAGTATTTTCCTATAGAAATTTTAGCATAAACCTGTAGGAACAATCATAGGATTTGCACAACAGAAACTGTAGAATATTCCTAGACCCCCCCCCCCTCTCTCCTCCCAAATTAAGTAGAATACTATAGAAATTAATCCCTACAGAAAATGGTATAGGTCCCCCCCCCCCCATTCCCTAGAGTGCTCTACAGAATTCTATAGAATACTACACTAGTAAGCAATAGGTCTTTTTGAGCATCAGGCCCCCTAGCTCTTTATCTAAATAATACACAATGCATCTTTATTTAATCTTTAAATATGTATTCTATCAATATCCATATTAATACAATTACATGTGTGTGTACTTTTGGAATCGGTATAAATACCTTTGAAAGATGACAACATTATTTTAATCAAATTGTTGGCAATGGGCAAACATAACCTTATAAAACACAATTTATTAGGAATAAAACAAACACAAAGTTATTGATGGATAGACATAGTGAACTAAGTAAATATTTCATCTCAATAATAAAGCAGACCGCTTTTTTTTCTAAAAACTCTTATTAAATCATTTCCCAACAAAACTGGCAGAGGAAATGCTTGCGCTTTCACAGCACATTATGGTCTTAACAAAGATGTCACTAAATATTTAAAGCTACAAAATATGAATATAAACTCTGCCAATGATACACACATGAAATGAAATGGGGTTTAACATCCTACTTTTCTGCACCAACCGGGCTAATGAAGAATGGCATATGCAATGCAGTATGTACTCACGGAACTTTTTCTCGACAGTGGCGTTATGGCCTACTCTTATTTCAAATTCCACCTGTCAAGGGTTCTTTAACATTGCATGGCAACGTGTACACATTTTTCATACCATCCAAACAACAAGAAACTGTTTCTTGTCAATCCCTTTCTTTCTACACTGTATTACAGGGGAAAACACACGGCCAACACCAGGTTTGAATCCTCAACTTCCTGGTTAGTAAACTAGTATGTCTACCCACTGGGCCACTATATTATTATTGTACTGAACTAAACCTGAAGTATTGCTATTGAGCTACATTATTAAACTAACACATGGAAATGAAATGAAATGGGGTTTAATATCCTACTATTCTGCTCCGACTGGGCTATTGAAGACGTGTATATGCCATACATTGTGCCTGTCTTCACAATAGCCCATTTCGAATTCCAACTGCCCAGGGTTCTTGCCAATGTGCAACAGGACCTCAGTTTTTTGGGCCATCCGAATGACTATACGTTGTCCCTTGCCAGGCCCTCCGTCCTACACCGGTGACAAGGGGGAACCACGCTGGAAAATCCTGATAAACTTTCTAGGCCAATGCAGGGATCGAGCATGGAACTTCCAGGTTAGTGGGCCAACATTCTACTCACTGAGCCACCATGCTCCCAAACTAACACATGGACTACCTCAATGTTTTTATTTCCTTGTACGATAATTAAATTTTCATTGCAAACGCAGTCAGTCCACAAATTTGTTGAATGAATCTGGCGCCAAAACAAGATGTGCATGAATAGCTTTTTCATTAAATCAAAGTAAAAATTAAATTGACATTTTGTCCTAGCACGGCCACCTTTTTTGCCTTTTTATTACAGGAAACCTCAATAAGTTCAAGTATTGTTTTGTTCAACACAGACATTGAATAACAATTGCTGGGGAAACAAATTAATTCTATTATTCCAACGTATATGACTTTATCATAGACAGACAATATGTTATACATCCTTAATAAAACACACAAAAGCCAACACAGATACCAGGCCAGACAAGAAATATTAATGAACTTACCGATTTAGATCTAATCTGTAGAAATATCTGTGTATTCCTTTTGTATGGTTTGATTCTAGATATTTTTCTCAAAGGCAATCCTCTTAATCTAAAACTTTTGTTCT